CAAATTTTCTAATTTATGTATCAAAATTATATTCTTTTTATGTACGAATCATTTATGTTATTCTACATAATTTTTTTATCTAGATTTCATTCAAAAATATTTTCAGATGTAATTCAAAATTATAATAAGTCATTAATTTCATAATGATTCTTAATTAATTTATTTTAAAAACTAAAGTAAATGTCTCGTTAAAATCAATCCATTCTTTATAAGTAGTTTAGCTTTTATATTATTCAATGTTACGCATGTTTTGTCTTAATGAATCATTTACAATTATTAAGTAATTTGATGAATTTGGAGATATTATTATGGTATATTAATTTTAATTATTCTCTTATTATAATGTGTCATTTTTAGACATAATTACTTTCTATAACTTATGAAAATAAGGGATCCTTTGATTCAAATATTATAATATGATTCTTATAGATATATTGTATAATAATAAAAAATGTAAGTCTCATTTCCTTTGAGATTTTTTTAAAATTATTGATTGTAATTATTTTACAAGATTATTACAACAACATCAATTTCATATACGTCAATGCTATTTTGTTATTTATCTCTATCAATTCTTTTAGTGATTTAAGAAATAATAGTCTATTAAAAATGATAAAAAAATATCAATATGTATTTTCTCAATATCAAAATTACATTTTGATATTTTTACTCTCATTGATTCGTTATTTTCTAAGAATATTACATTAAGATTAAATAATTAAATTTGTATGTCTTTGATTTTTTTAGATAAACAATAAAATACCTAAAAATAGTCCTTAAATCTAAATTATTTTTATGTGAATTAAAGACTCTTATCTACAATCATATATATGTAAAAATCTTAAGCTATGTTTTCTATCGGTCCATAATTTAAAATAAGTTGATATAATTAACTTATTAGAAATCATGCTCAAGATATACATAATCATTCTTAAAACCTTTATTCGGGCATAAAAGAATAATTCTATGCTTCAAAAGTATGATTTTGATTTTTAAAGATCTTGTTCTACTGTAATGTTACACATTTAGTAATATATGATAAAGAGTAAAATTTTGGCCAATGTAAATATAATATCGACATGAAGGTGCCGATGCAGGAGTGACGTAACCATGTGTTAGCTTTTGACAACGTGAAATATTCTGTACAAAGAATATATTCTCCTTCTGCATGAAAAGAATCAGTAATCAATGAACCATTTGATTCGATAAGGTTGTCGAATCTATCGTATTTAGATGGGACTCTGTTATAATGACGATGTATTATCATAATCATCTCGATGCATTGTCATGCCAAAAAGAAAACAACTAATTATTGCAAAAATTTTACTTCCAAAAATTCAATTTTATCCCATCAGAACTGAAATTTTGAAAAAAAAATAGATTAGAATAAAAAATATGTTTTGAAAACGCTATCAAATCACACGCGTCAATGACACTGCTCGAGACAAATATTTTACGTGCAAAATAAAAGACGGTGAAAATAATTATGATAAATCGATTTCACAAATCAAACCGTTATATACTGACATAACGGGAAACCGATATCACAAGTTTAAGCCGTTATTTGGAATGCATATATTTTTGGAAATAAAATTCGAACTGGGAGATGGCATTGCCACCCATAACGGATGAGCCCCACGTGGCGTCACGGTTCCATGCACGTTTCTGATCGTGCCATGGGAAAGGGGGTGTCCGTTGCTCGCCCATGTGGCGGTTCGAGCTCCAACCGGCCCGTAGGGGATACGGTCCGCTAGGGGGTTAACGGCAGAACGCATTGTAGTACATTTCCGTTCCCTCCCCTGATCGAGTTTCTGATTCCCTTGAACCCTCAAGCCCGTCGCCTGGTCTTGCCGGTTCTAGGGTTTCGCTCCTCCCTACCTCTCCGATCTCGATGGCCGCTTCTTGCTCCAAGACACTGATCTCTCCCTCCGTCGGCGGGGCGCCTCCGCGCTGGAAGAGGACCCCGCCCCTCCGCCGGATCGACGTCCGCCCCAGGCGTCGGAACGGCGTCGGTCGTCGATCCCTCTGCATATCCTGCGGAAGCTCCGATCCGGACGTGGAGAACGGCTTATCCGAAGGTCATGCCTCAAGGGAAAACGAGCAGTTCGTTGGGTGGTTCCGCCAGGCCTGGCCGTACATTAGGGGCCACAGAGGAAGCACCTTCGTCGTGGTGATATCTGGAGAAATCGTGGACAGCCGCAACTTGGACAGCATCCTGCAGGTACGTTCAGGTTCGAGTTTTGGCATATATATATATATATATATATATATTTCAACCATACTGTATGCAGGTTGGTATAGGTTCTACTAATTTTTAAAATTTAGGATTGGGACCAATTAGTTCAAGATCAGCATTCATGTACTGATACCGCACTGGCTTGGCAATATACCATAAGAGCTATAACAATCCTGCTCAGTCACATATGATCATGTATGAAAGTACTATATTTTGTTGGAGCACAGACATCATTCATTGAGTATCCAAAATTTGAAGTGAATTAAAAGAAGAGTTTATCATCTGATATTCATAACCAAATCTGATCTGATATTCTTTTAGGAGAGTGCAGGAAAGATTCATAATAGCCAATGTCTTGAACCATGAGATATTGTTAATTTCCATCACTAGAGGATATTTTTGCAAAGAGTGTGTGTTTTGGATCTTGTAGTCAAATCTGTCGCAAGTACCTATGATTGTGATCAAATTGTAAAGGAGTAATTCAATCGTCAATGACTTGGTTGATTTAGTTTCCTTCTTTTTTACTTTAACTCCCCATACAAACAGTTGGTTCTGTAAGTGGCCAGTATGCTAGTTGTAAATCTTGGCTGGCTCATCCACCGCATTATGTCCTAAAGATCTTTCCCTTGGGCCTTGGTGCATTATTTGGGTGAAGATAGAACCTTGTTTAGCTTAGGCAAGTTGTTAATTGAGTTTAGTTTAGGCCTAGCATTTGTCCTTTTGTATGAAGATTACTTCCTCCCCCCACTATTAATTTTTTAGGTATGCTTCAGAATTATCCCCAGGAAGACCTTAGGTAAACGGTGGTTGCATGACCTTTAACCCTTTTCTTATTTGGCTAGTCAAAGTTCTGTAAAAATACTCCACAAAACACAGTATTTTTTGCTAGAAAAATATAGGTTATGATGATAAGTTATTTAGGGAGAGACTATCCATGTGTAGTAAATTCAATTCAAAAAGTAGGTTTTCATTGCATGTGGCTGGCCTATTTTTTTCTCCTTTCTCTCTTTCATTTATTAGTTTCTTATTGTATTCATTTGAACCCTTTTATTATAAAATTTATATAATACAATAGCAAGACTAGAAATTAAATTCTCTACTTGCATACGTACGACCATGTACATTGATCTTTCCAAGATCCCACATTGACGAGAGCATCACGCTGTGGGTTTACCCTTTTTCGCTGTTAGAATCAGGAAAGCTGCAAGTTCTAGTTTATCTTTAGAGTTATAGCAATATATTAAGGCAGCCTTTTCTTCTAAAATAAATAATATCACCTAAGTATTTTTCATGGTTGCTTCTTTTTGTTCCTTTTAATATTCAGGTTTTTTCCTGCAACAGGATGCTATCAGCTATGGAACCTGAATTTTGTATGATTAAATATCTTATATTATTCTTTGGTATGCAGCAAGCTGTATTTCTTTTCAGAATGTACATTATGCAATGAACTTTCTAATCTACAATTTTTGTTGAGTGAATCGGTTTGATCTTCATGGACTCTCAAAATAGAATGCTTTGCATTTTTCCTGTAAGTGTTTCTATTTGGCAATAACTTACTATGACCATTAATTATATTATATGTGCGTATGCTTGCAGGATATATCACTGCTTCATGGACTCTCAAAATAGAATGCTTTGCATTTTTTAAAAGTGTTTCTATTTGGCAATAACTTACTATGACCATTAATTATATTATATGTGCATATGCTTGCAGGATATATCACTGCTTCATGGTCTAGGGATCAAATTTGTTCTTGTTCCTGGAACCCATGTCTTGATAGATAAGCTTTTGGATAAGAAAGGTTGGTATGATTCTTAACCTTGTTATTGTTAGCTATGAGTTTTTTTTTTAGACTTTAGCTTTTAGCTTTTAATTTGATACTAATCATGACTGTGGTTGTTGAATAGTCCACCAAACCCTAGCTAGAATTCCTTATAGCCAAAATTTCATCTTACGAAATTTGATGCTTATGCCTAATTTTTCCATTTGTTGGACACATTATACTGATTGACAAATTTGTGATCAGTCTCTGAGGCCTATATATTATAATTCTTAGTTTCCTTAAGTCGTAAGGTGTCTGCCAGCATTTTGATTATTTTTTTCATGCTTTTAATATGTACTATGATTTGACTGCATTATAGAAATGATTGAGTAAATGAATCCATGAGGCTTGGGTCAATTTGGTGACCTTCGACTTACGATTTTGGACTCGTAAGTATATTTACCATTTTGGATTTTATCCATTCATTCATAATTGTTTTTGTTGCTTAACTAAAAAACAACAAACATTATTAAACTTTAAATGTTGAAAGTAATTAATTTTCAATTATTAAAAGAACAAGGGATTTCTCATGCTAGAACTTTTATTCAGCAATAGTAATATCTTCATCAATCTCTCTTCCTGCTGGATAAAAAAAATTTAAGCATTGTGGTTCTGCAGGAAGGGGAGAATGGTGAAAACATTATTCATATTGTTGAAGCTGAAATGCACTATTTTATGCTGTCTTGGTCATTAAATGTTAGTTTCTGAAGACGTGCACATGGTAAATCAGTTTGATTATTTTTATATGCTGGTTGTAAGGATTAGCTTTATCCACCAAGTAATTTGTTTAGTGCTTCTTCTTGCTCTCGTTTGTTTGCAGTTCTTTTTCTTCTGTATGTTGGTACATTGTAACTTCTTGTTACCTGTTGATCTCCTAAGGAAGCAAGGGGAAGTATGTTGGGCAGTACCGAATTACTGATTCTGATTCACTGGAGGCAGCAATGGAAGCTGCTGGGAGAATTCGTCTTGTAATTGAAGCGAAGCTTTCGCCGGGACCCCCTATATTAAATCTTCGTCGGCATGGTGATCATAGTCGTTTTCATGATCTTGGTGTTGGCGTGGCTAGTGGCAACTTTCTTGCAGCCAAGGTTATTTCAAGACTTGAATCTTGAACTTTTATTTTGGAATTTTTTTTTTGGTTGTGTGCTCCTAAACATCCATAACAAATACCCTCATGGAAGTGTGAATTATTTATATTCCTCCACTCACATTGAGAACCCATTAAGTTGCCCCTCTTTGTGAGGCTATGTTATTTATGCAAAGACTAAAATGTCCATCAGTGTTTTTTTATGGGCAGAACATGCACATTATCCCATGTCAGTATCTAAGTTGATGGCACTGGCCAATCCAATTGAGATGGAACATAGAGAGAAATAGGTGTATTCCTTTCATAATTATAGCTGAGTAGGGGGCATTTTAGTCTTTTTGCCCCCCCAAAAGACACCTTTATGGTGGAGGTTGATGGGGAGAGGGAACTTATTGGGTTTTCAATTCTACAGGGGCATGCAAGCAATTCAAACATCTGCATGTATCTGGATGTATATGTTTGTTTGGAAGGGTCCAATGACAAAGCTCCTTTTATTTTATTTTGAAAACTCATGGTGAAAGTTTTCTTATGCCATTCTCATTGCTATTAAGCAAATGTATTTCATGAGAAAAATAAACAGATTGTTTTCCAGAGTTTCTTCTTATTATGCCCTCAATGCAAATGTTGTTATAATTTGATTTTGAACTATGTTTGATAGGATTTGTCTTCTCTTAACAAGGGTTTTCTTTCTCTGAAGGAAGTATCGTCCAGAAGAGATTTGAGGGAGAGAAGAGGATAGGGAATAAAATAACAGAGAAGTAGAGGGAAGAAAGACGAAGAGAAGACAGGATTAGGAGAAGACTGTCCTAGTAGGACTAGGAGCAAGGGTTTCCTTATCTTACTAGGATTAGGAGAATGGTCTTCTGAAAGGTTATCAGGACTAAGGAAGGAGAATTTAGTTTCGGTGGTCTTTGTCATTGCAACGTTTCATTTCATTGTGTGTGCATGAAATTCTAATCATTGTAAAATGATATCTTAGTCTTAAGATTGTGAAATGGGGTTGATACTGAACTGCTTAGTTACACTTGCAGTCTATACCTAATTACCTAGTGTAATTTTTTTCATATGTAATCATTCATCTGCATAACATCATGTGTACAAATCTTAATGATCATTTTACAAAGGCTTCTAGTTTTCAAGTTGATGCTAACAAAAATTTTGGTGACATAATTCTGTGTGTGTGGATCAAATTCACTTCTGCATTTGCATATTTCCTATTTTTTGCCATCTGTTTCTATATAGACTCTTGACAGTGTAGGGAACGTAGAAAAGAAGTTTCATATACAGGTCTGGCTCGATATTTTTGATATTTTAAATCATTATCATCATTATTCTGATTTAATAATGAAAGATGCAGCCTCACATTCAATTCAAGCTGTAATCATTTTTACCCTCTCCATGTGTGTAGCAAAAAACAGCTGACATTAAACGATGTAATTCCACCTAATGTGCCTGATTGATTTTGAAATATCAGGATTTCTCTTAGGCTTTTTACCATTTGTGTAAGTTTTTTATGCCATACTCGAGAAATCATTTCTTATGATGCTATAGTTATACTAGCACTTGCAAATAGGAATGACACCGGGTGGGCACTCATGCATTTCACTGTACCTATTCTGTTTCCAAATTCAACTAGTTAGCCTCGTAGTTGACCTCATATCAAACTTGAATCAGGTACCTGTTCTACTATACCTAACTATCCAAACCTGATTAATGAGCTTGTTTAAGTGGGTTGGGTAAGGATAATTATTTGAAAAATATGACCTTTTTTGGGAAATGATAATTTAGTAGACTATCCACCAATTTCACCTTGCTTATTCTCGAACTTAACCAACTACCTAGGTACTTGAACTCATTCCAGACTAAATATCCAAGTCTTCGAATCCAGTCCAAATCTGGCTTGAATACATATTTCGCTACCTGTATATATCCCATACCTGATTAACGGGTATGCTATTCTGGCTTAAACAGGTCACGTAGCTGCTTGTAAAGGATAGAGTATACCTGTTGCCATATGCTATCCCAATTAAGAATACTAGAGTTGAAGAGACCTGAGCAGAAAAAAAATCTAAAGTGTTCAGGATTTAGTAGCCTGATAGTTAACAGTACAACCTGTATCTTTGTCATCATTTTAAATGTTTTTTACATTTGATGGGAATTTAGTGTAATAACTAAATGTCATAACCCTTCTGAATTTTTTAGTGAAACTCACTACTTTTAAACAGTTAAAGCTACAAAATTCTTACTGTACATCTCTCGTAGAGTGTTGAGTAATACAACAAGCTAACTTTCTTCTTTTTCTTCCTCTTTTGGCTTGCAGAGAAGGGGAGTTGTTGAAGGTATAGACTTTGGATCAACTGGCGAAGTGAAAAGGATAGATGTATCTAGTATAAGAGAAAGGCTTGACAGAGATTGTATAGTTATAGTTAGCAACCTTGGCTATTCAAGTTCAGGAGAAGTCCTAAATTGCAAGTATGCTGATTACCTTTTCTTTTTAGATGATCATTCATAGTCCAATTGCATCTTCAGGAAATGGATCTTGATTTTCCATATATATATTTATGTGTATATATGTGTATATCATCTTACTGGCTTCTATCCTGTAGCTGGAGAATTTGCAGTTAGGCTATTTTCTTGTTGAGTTCAATGAAAGCCATCTTAGATTGGTGATTGAAACTTATTTGCATTTGTTATTTATGCACAACATGAAGTTCTTGTTTTGGCGTTCTGTTTTTACTTTTTATTTTGTGCTTTTGTTGATTCTGACCAAGTAGTTTCTGAAATTTTTTCCAAGAAGCTTTGCATTTTTTTTGGGATAAATTCTTCTACTCATGCTTGTTTCTATGGCAAATGATAATCTAAACTTATTCACTCAACGCTTTAATGGGACCATTCTGAGTGAGGGAACTCCTGGCACTCCGCGGCTGGTGGGATCAGGCTGGCCAAGTGAAGTTTCCTTTACAGTTAAGGTTCAACCCTGAAACTGACTCAGCCATATTTATTGTGTATTAAATTGATCCTTTTACATTGTAACCTGGTCTAACTTGTTTACATCCACTCCTGAACTATGTATGTTGTGGATTGTTTATGGGCGAGAAAAAAAATTATCTTTCATGAATTCGTTCTGTCAAAATGGTGCCGATCCAATCTGACCATTCATACTTCTTGATTTACGTTGGTGCTGCATCTGTTTATGTATCTACTTCTTTTTTTACTTTTCTTCTGAAGGTTTTCTTCATAAATGTGTGGTCAGACTAACTTTAACTTTTGGAATGACTCAGCACCTATGAAGTTGCTACTGCCTGTGCTTTAGCCATTGAGGCAGACAAATTGATTTCCATTGTCGATGGCCAGATACTTGATGAACATGGACGATTTATACGTTTCATGACTCTCCGAGATGCTGACTTGTTAATTAGAAAGAGAGCTAAGCAGAGTGAGACAGCTGCAAACTACGTTAAATTTGTTGGTGAAGATATTAATTCTTCTGGCTATCTTCATTCAAATATAAGTGGTACAATTTCATGGAAGGAGAAAGACTTCATTCAAAGTCACAGAGCAACATTTCAGAATGGTGTTGGGTTTGATAATGGGAATGGATGGTCTGGCGAACAAGGATTTGCTATTGGTGGCGAAGAACGGCTAAGCAGATTAAATGGTTACCACTCAGAATTGGCTGCAGCAGCATTTGTTTGCAAGGTATTGCAATTATTCAATTCATGAGAACCCCAAAATTTTATAGTGTTTCTGGTTAATTTCTTTACATGCAATTTGTTGAGTTGTTTTCTAGGAAGTGTTTTAGTTTTTTGGTTTTGCAACCTTCTGAATCTCCAAAAGTGTACTCTCAAGGAACTCACTATTTCTCATAGTATGGGTAGTTGACCACAACTCAGAAAGAGAAGTCTCCATGTCAACACAATATGAGGCTCCTTATTGTGATCTGATTTTTAAACCCAGGTGACTTTGGCCAAGAGCCATGCCTTAATAGCTAAAAAGTTAACTTGTAAGACAGAGTTACTACTTTGTCAGTTGCGGTCTGATCATACAAGCATTAAGCTATAAACATATATTCTATTATATTATCTTTCATTTTTAAGGCACGAATAAGATTAATGAGTAAGTGAAATTGCATGTCTAAAATGAATGATGAAAGACACGAGGTTTTGACGAGAGAATTTCAGTTTATTCAGATTCTAGTTGGCACCATAAAAAGGCTTATTGAGAACCTCCCTTGGCACATATCTGGATTATGATGGTTCTCTGGCTGATATGAGCATATCACCAATATTTATAATTGAAAATTTTATTATACTCAGTTGTTAAGGAGTTCTTAAGGCTGTCTACTGCAGTGTAACTTTTATTAGGATTTCACAGATCCCATTTGCTTTCATGAAACCTAATTTCATTATTAATTGTTTGTATTTTTTTCATCTTTTAGGGTGGAGTTCAGAGAGTTCATTTAATTGATGGAACTCTTGGGGGAGCCTTGCTTCTGGAATTATTTACCAGAGATGGAGTAGGGACTATGGTGGCTAGGTATGAGGAAGTTTTTGCCAAGTCTTTATTGCTCTGTTATGAATCGTTATGCATTTTATTTTAGCTTTGATTTCTGCATGTTATGACTTTTCATTGATTTGTTTTTCTTCTGATTAGTAGTTTGAAAATGTGTATTTTGTTTAAGAAACTATTCATTTTTTTTCTTTTCGAACTTTTGGTTCTGTTTAAGCAAATATTTCATGGCTTATTTTTCTTGTCTTCCACTTTTCTGAGGATTTGCACTACAAAATATTTTTTGTCATTGAAATCAGCAGACACCAAGTGAACTGATCACATTCTTTTTGTTGTACAATGCACTTTTTATTGGCATATTCTGAAAGCAAGTCAAGTTCTGTTATGATATAGTAGGTCGAGATGTTTGTATTATTGTGCTTCTTACTTTAATGAAATTTGCTTGAAATGCTGATATAATATGTTTCATACTTCATTTTAGCTTTTAGTGAATCTGAACATCTTGTATTGACTTTCCCAATTCTCACTCTAGTGATGTCTATGAGGGAACACGGATGGCTACAGTGGCAGATCTTCCTGGTATAAAGAAGCTTCTCCAACCAATGGTAGAATCAGGTGCCTTGATTCGAAGGACTGATGAAGAGGTTTACATAATTCTAACGTTCTATTTGTTTTCTCAATGTCCAGAAAGTATGTTCTGGTCGTTCCACATCTTGATCCCATTTTGATTGTTATAACTTGTAAAAATAAAGAAAGAACTTAGAAGCTTTTGCCTTCATAAATATTTTACTAGTTTGTACTTATAACTTGTTCCTTGTTTTCAGCTTCTTTGTTCATTGGATTCCTTTATCGTTGTTGAAAGAGATGGTTCAATTATTGCATGTGCTGCTCTTTTCCCTTTCTTCGAGGATAAGTGTGGTGAGGTTGCTGCTGTGACTGTGTCTCCAGAGTGCCGAGGTCATGGACAAGGAGATAAATTACTCGGTATGCTTCGAGTATCCATGAAAAGCTCTAACAACTTGTCTTTTACTGAAAAATGAAGTGCAATATCTAACATTGTAGGACATGCAATTCCATGTAGGCCTTCAGACTTAATGAACATTAAATTATATATATATATATATATATATATATATATATATATATATATATATATATATATATATATATATATATATATTGCATTTTTCTATGATTTTGATATATTATTTTCAAGCCTATTTTCAAGAAACTATGATATTTTTTAAGTGCTGTGGACTGTTTTTTTTTTTGCAATATTCAGCGTCATACTTTAGACATAAAAAGCATAGCTGAGAATGCAACAGGAGACATTGATAGAAAAAAATCATTGAAGATGTCTTCTCGCAACACATTGAGTTGTTTACAGCCTTTTCTGGTTCCATCATAGTTTAGTATGTGACTGTTGAACTTGTCTTTTATCCTGATGACACTCGTCATTCTAGTCATTCTAGCCAAAGCTTTGATGACTTTTTCTCTAACCACTGATGTATTCTAATACTTTAATGATGTATGTATGCATTTAATGGAGACAACTTTGAACTTATGACGAATTTCATAAAGTTTTTGACATTTTTGTTTGCTATCTATACGATGTATCTGTATTAAATCAAGAACACATTTTAATAGAGTTGATGTATTCAGTTAACATTTTCTTTAATCATCATCAATGTGCTTTTCACCAAGTTTTTCTGATTTGAGTCTTGTTTGATCGTGGATACAGATACATGTTATACTGTGACTTACCATGTAATTTTCTTTTCTGGCTATATTATGCAGATTACGTAGAGAAGAAAGCAACGTCTCTTGGACTAGAGAGACTTTTCCTGCTGACAACTCGTACTGCAGATTGGTATGCAATTCCAAGGCTATTCACTTGTAACACTGCATAGGCTATTCACTTGTAACACTGCATGATGTTTTAATGGATTTTTTCAAAACATATACCTAAAAAAAAGTAAATACCCATCAACGCATTTGTGTAAATGATGATAATCAACATTATACTTTCTTTTTCTTGTGTTGTTCAAGTTTAGCAGGAAAGGGATTCATGAGAACTATCTGCAAATTATTATTGGTCCTAAAGTTCCTTATTCTAATACTAGGATGTAAATTACTTATATCTCACTAATTAGAGATTTCGCTTAACATATTTTCACAGGTTCGTGAGGCGTGGCTTTTCCGAGTGTTCCATCGAGTCCATTCCGGAGCAGAGAAGGAAAAGAATCAATCTTTCGCGTGGATCGAAGTATTACATAAAGAGGCTGTATCCGGTGCTAGGTGGGGTTTCAGGCAATAAGCCGGCCCACAGAATTATATAGCTTTACCTGTTTATTTTGGTCTTCCTTTCTACCATATTCATAAACCTCAGCTTGCGGCGATAGGTACATTGGACAAAATTAGATGAAGAATGTTCACGTGATTGATTGATATAGAGAGATTGTGAGATCTTCATATTAGGAGAAATTGTTGTTGATAAACTTGATTACTGCATGATGAATCATTTTTTTAAATATCATTTCATAATAGAACATCTACTCTCTTGGTTAGCTATCTTCTATATATTTGTTATTTCTGGGGGAAGGCCCCATGCATCAACAGATCTTACCTTATTTTTGCTAATATTCTTGTAATTTGTTTCAGAGGTCAGAAGGAAAGGAACACATGATTGCCATCATTTCCTAATCTCTGTTTCCCCTGTTTCAGATGTTGCTTACTGAATGATATACTTTGACCAAGGATCGTAACTCGACGTATTGGACCTGGAAGCGTCGTCACGGAACGCCGTCACAGCACTAAAAAGCACTTCGCATTTAGTGATGAGACGTTACCACCGACATTTCACCATGGTAGTAGGAGTTGGAAGAGTAGGTGGCGGAGGATGAACGGGAAGTGGGAGGTGTTACTATTCGACGGGAAGCATGACTTCGTTGGTGCGGACGAGACGCAGCGTCCAGGGCGGGTTGTACCTGGCGCGGAGGAAGTCGCCGACCACCTTGTGGCCGTCCCGCTCTAAGCTCCGCCTCAGCTGCGGCACCCTCTCCGCCGCCACCCCGTACTTGGCCTCCTCCTCCTCCTTCTTCACCACCACCAGCTCGTCCATGGGCGCCGGCGCCTCCGCCGCCCCCGCGTACTTGGACGGCAGCACGAACTGCATCGTCACCGCCCCGCCGCTGCGGGTGACGACCCGTCATGTCGATCTTCTCGGGACGGTCCTTGCTGACGATGGCTGCGGTCATGGCGATCTTCTCCGGGCGGACGTTCTGCGGGTCGCCGAGGGCGCCGATGTAGTTGGCCAGGATTATGAAGCCGCCGTCGCGGTCGTTGCGGAACTTGGAGGCGTCGTAGTTGACTTCGGCCACCACACGAAGGAAGTACTTGCTGATCTGGTAGTCTGCGGCCGCGCGGATGACTTCATATGTGGGCGTCTCTACCGTGATCTTCCCCAACACCAAACCCATCTCTCCCTCACTTTCGCTTCGTCGATATGAACGTGGGCGCGTGTATATTTATATATATAGTCGCTTGCTTGGTAAAGAAGGTGTGGTGGTGGTGGTGGTGGCAATGGCAGTCGCAGGACGAGACGGGGGCCCGAGGAGGAGGGAGGCGGCACAGACGTGTCCTGCCGTCATGCCGTGGTGCGATTCATTTGCTCGCTTCGGGAAGGAGGGCGGCCTCGATGGGATTCGGAAACATTGGATCGCCGGTTGGGTAAGAAAACTTCTACTTATCAAACTGGATCGTACTTTATTTTCTTTTGCTGATATTGCGTGACACGTAACCCAATGTGAAGGCTTCGGACGTAGACTGATGTGTTAACATTGATTGGATGGTCTATTCGTTAAAAGACAAAATATTCACGACAGTCGTAAATTTTGTTATTTTCCGAAGATTTTTTTTTTTTACTTTGACATAGTATTTTCTTATTTTTTAAGATCAGATTACTTCTGATGTCCATCTCGTCAACTGTAGTTTTGGACATCATCGTGAAGCATCCCTTAAACACTCTTCTCCAGCTCAATGCCAACTCCACATTCTCGCCCTCGAGAAGGGAAAAAAGGTGGGGTGGAGGTGACAATTGTAATGGCACACAAGTGGGAACGATACCAAGAGCACACTATCACAAACGGTTGTTATGCACTCATAATATTTTCGTCAATAGTTCGATTGTTGCTTTTATTTATTTATACAGATATTTAAGTAGTATGTTTTGTCTCATTTTTATATGTTTTACTTGAAAAGTGTAAACACGAACAGTTTACAAGATTGTAGCATGATCGCTCGTTAGAGTGGATAATATTATCCCAAAATGATTTAGTTTTCGCGTGTTATAACTAATTTTTTACGAGCTATGGCACTTGGGGGATAAGAGTTGAGGGTAGTGTTGGGCGTTGATTGAATTCACAAGTTCGTATGTTAAACTTACGAGAACTTGCCAATGTGTCAGACACCTAGTGAGTAATCATTTGCGGACTTGCGACTGTTCATTTGCTTTCTAAAATTCTTGTTTTCTCATTCTTTTCTTACACATTTAGTGTTTATTGAATTGAGTGTTCTTTTCGTGAAATATCGTGACTTGTCCGTCATTCGCTTTTGAACTAATCAATTTGATTTTTTACAATTCCTTCAAGACCTGAGCGAGATTACAACTGAGCTGACCCTTTGTGGATGAATAATACAAGGGTGTCTCACGACTTAGGCAATTCCAACTAAATCCGTGAAATTGGTGCATGGGTGCTTCACGATTTAGATAATTCAACTAAGTTTGTGATATTGTCATAAGGGTTCCTCACGACTTAGACAATTCTAACTAACTCTATAACATTATGGTATTAGAGAGGGTAAGTAATTTGAACAAACGGTAAAAGTTTTACAATCTCACAATGGCAAAGCATCGTAGTGCATCGAGCAAGACAGGACAAGCTGGACCATTGCCCTAAGCAGTTGTAGGTGGGCTACAAGTGTAAACTCGCTCTCAAGTTGTTGGAACCGCTCAAGAGAAGTCCGTAGCGAACAAGACGAGCAAGAAGTTGGCTACTATTTGTAAGCGGAGGAAGCACAATCCAAAGTGCCAACTAAGAAAAAAAGCCATAAGGAGAGTCTTACAGCTATGAAAACTTGAACCACTTGATGTGGAGGCTACTTATGAATCTGTTGTGGTGGCGAACGTCTTAAAGGAATTCATTAATGTTATGCCACTCGAGTTGTCAAAAACTCTATCGTTACGCAAAGGCGTGGATTATCACATTGAACCGGAGCCGGGAATGAAGCCTTCAGTGGGACCATCATAGCACATAGCCCCTCCAGAGTTAGCAAAGCTTAGGAAGCAATTAGATGAACTACTAGACAATTATCTCATCCATAATTTTAAAGCACCATTTAGAGCTCCAGTCCTCTTCCAAATGAAACAAGATGGGAGTCTTTGATTACCTGTCGACTATCGAACTCTAAACAAGGTGACAATGAAGAACAAGTATCACATCTCGCTCATCGCGAGCATGTTCGACCAACTAAGCAAAGCAAAGTATTTCTCTAAACTCGACATTTGATCAGGTTATTGGTAGGTACGTATTGTTGAAGGTAATGAAGCGAAGACTACTTGTGTAATCAGGTATGAAGTATTCGAGTTTATGAATATGTCTTTTGACTTAACCAATGCTCCGACCAAATTTTGCACTCTCATAATCCAACTATTCAAATAATATTTGGACAAGTTTATGGTCGTCTATTTAGACGATACCATTATTTACAACCAAATGCTCGAGGAATATGTCAAGCACCTTTAAACAATTTTCAAGGTTCTTAAGGAGAACACTTTGTTCGTGAAAAGAGAGAATTGCTACTTTGTTCAAGCGAAGATTTTATTCTTAGAGCATTAAATCAGCAAAGGTTCCATTCAGATGGACAAATTGAAGGTACAAGTTGTGGCGGAGTAGCAAACACCAAAGAAGGTGTCGAAGCTGAGATCTTTTCTTGGTTTTGTCAACTATTATCGGTGCTTCATAGCCGAGTACTCAAAGTGCATAACTCTGTTGACGAAGTTGCTAAAGGAGTAGCCTTGGTGATGGCTAGACAAATATAAAGTGGCATTCTAAGACCTAAAGACTGTTGTGTTGGAAGAACCGATGCTCAAATTGTCGGACTGTCTTTCGAAGTCTACACAGATGCTTTAGACTTCCCTATTGGAGGAGTACTTATGTAAGAGGGTCATCCGGTGGCCTACGAGAGTTGTAAGCTCAATAAGACCGAGTGACTTATCCAATGCATGAGAAGGAGATGACAGTGATTATCTACTGGCTACGAGTTTAGTGACACTACCTTCTTGGAACACAATTTGTACTAAGGACGAATAATATCGCATTAAGTTACTTCCAAACTCAAAACAAACTCTCCCTAAAGCAAGCACAGTAGTAGGACTTCTTGGTTGAATTTGATATGACATTGGAGTATAAGCTCGAAAGAACAAATGTCGTGTTGATGCATTGAGTAGGAAAGTGGAGCTCACGAATGCCATGTAACTGAAAGGCGGAGATTAAGCAAGTTAATTGCACTCCAACTTCCTTTTTAAGATAAGGGATGGACTGTACAATAATCTCCAAGCAGTATCCCTGATGCAATTGATCAAAGAGAGGGCAAGACACGATGATTTTATCTCTAGGAGGAACTTGTCTACATCAAAGGGAATAAAGTCTATGTTCCTAGAGCAAACAATTTCAGGCGTGAACTCTTGAGAGAAACACAAAGCCACTACAGCGGTCGAGGAAAGATCCACCATGGCAAACTCTATACCGCTATAGCAGATAAACATGATACCAACGGTCCAGAAAATTCTTCATGAGAAGCACAAAGCCACTACATGGCAGCACCTGTAGCTCGACACACCCTAACGAAGCAGAACAGTGTAGCCAAACAACATGTCACGAAACCCCTATCGAAGCTCTGAAGCACGCCTTCTAGGGGGACAAATGATAGAAAATTTACCAATAGTTGACACGTAGTCGCCATGTGTCATCCAAATTATTCGCCTAAATATATAAAGATTCAAAACAAAGAAACACAAGCTTCCTTCTCGTTCATTATAATAAGAAAGACAATCACAAACCTTTTTTTTATCCTTCAAGGTATAAAAGCATATCCTAAATAGAGAAATAAGGGAGGACTCACTCCTTTTTAATTACTCGAACCCACATTTGGAGACTTCAAATTGCTAGAGTGCTGGAGGGATCGAGTCAAGAAATCTCTCCCGACCTCAATTTTAGTGCATGTGGTGCCTCGGAAGCTCGACACCTTAAATCCACATTGGAGCCATCTCAGATCCATCTCAGATATACCTCAGATCCACGTCCGAAGCACAACATTTTCACCTCAGAAGCACCTCGGACATTTCTACGCACATGATGATAGGGAAAATAACAACAATGCAAACTCATCCCGCCACCTGGGCTAAGGAAGCCACTTTAACTGCAACTAAGGAAAGGCTTGCACGCACGCATTGAAGCTAGGAGGCATATTGCAACTTCCCTAGCCTTACCTTCTGAACGAATAATGCAGGGGGTCATCCCCTACTCGTCCCAGAGTCAAGAGCATTGACAAAGCATATCATCACAGGTATCGTATCCTAACGTCGTCCTTCAAAGGACACGCTCGTCAGCTACCACCATCAATGATCATTTAGAAGGGTAAGGGACACCCTACCCCATCACTGGTTCACACCACTAATCAATCAGGTATAAAACCCAAGCCCCTAGGCCAAACGAGAGAATGTGGGACTCTATCTAAACTATTTTGAACTCTACTAAACCCTTTCCACATACACTACCGATTGGAGCGTCAGAGAGGCCAGGTCGAGACATTTCTTTGATGTCTACCGCTTGTGCATGACCTAGGCGCATCTAAAGAGCACCTTGGAGCAACGCTGAACGCTTCCAAAAGACCAAGGTACATCTCGGGATGACCCCGAGCTTCCTTTAACATATAAGCCACTGCTCGAGACGATTGTGGATCAATCGCTGAGAGCCCAGAACACCTTGGGGGTCCTCGTGTCACCTCGATTACCTTCTCGGGCTACCTCTCCCGTCCCAACACGGGCCCTTAGGATGGATCTATGCCTTCACATCCATAGGAATACTCGGACGCAAACATGTCCAGTAAGGCTGTACATTTGAAGCTGAAACGTTAGATGATATCAGTTTACAACAAAATTCTCAACTAAAATGAAATGACACCAATGATTATGAACACAATACTCTAAACAAATCTAGTTTATTCAACTTGCACGTTCAGCTGGAACTATAAACTTGAGGAACCTGACACAGTTTATTTACATTTCGCGAATAGAAAGGAAAAGGCAAAAGGACAAGACAAAAGATCATAGGTCTGCAAAGAGATGATAAGTATTCGAATCAACAACGATGAGCCTTAGAGCTGCGATTGCAGCAGCCATAGACAAGCAACTGAAACCAACAACGTTCAGCCAATGCCACGCCTTCTGTGGTGCGGAAAGCTTGTTCTTTTTCACCTTCAAGTACATGTGATTTGCAAGAACAAATGTAAGCGGAAATGTACTGAGAGCCCCTGTGAGGCTCATAAAGTCTCCAAGAAATGGAAGCAGAGCTGCTACAAGGGTGTTTATTGTGAGGTAGCCTCCTCTCACAACAACTCTGAATGAAACGTTGTAAAAGGAAAAGGGACTCCCTTGACCTCTTCCATACTTCGTGTCCAAGTATTCATACATCGGACTCGCAAATATCTAACATAAACTCAGTTAGTATAGAAACAGAACATTAATATTATGACATTCCACTTCTACAATGTCCAATGTGAAGCCTAAGCAACATTGCCAGTTGTTAGCCTTTTTATGACTAGCAACTTGATATTGCATGATGTCAACAAAACATGACGAGAATGTTTAACAAGTAAACATAGAAACTCATAGATGATACATATGAAGTAAACAAAATCTGGATACATTGGTAAGTTATGAATTGCTCTAACATGATTCGGCAAGGACGAAAAGATTCTCTCTTGAGGATGATAATAACAAGTGATTGAGATATTGAAAAACATGAAAATAAATGTGGACGAGACTGTCAATTGCAATTAACAGTAAAGGGACAAATGATGTATGATGTGAACTGTAAACTAATCTATATGCTCAGAGAATATAGCTTTCTTTCTTCTATTATATCCAAAAAAAAAGCAGAATGTCAGTGGCAAGTATTGGATCAAGAGAAGTACATGTAAGGCGACGACTGTCTGAAAAAAGGCCGCAATGTTAGCAACTGACTTCACCCAAATTGGACCATTGACACTATTTAGTAAATAGGTTGATGTTGAAGAGCCATAAGCCCAATAACCAACGAAAGTAACAGCATACAACGGCAAGCCACCTATTACAAACTGAAACCAAAGTGCTTTCTCCATATTTCTGATGACAGGGGGTTTCACTGTTGCCTGCAATAAGATGAGAGGAAGGCTGTTAAAATGTGTGAGTACATGCTACACTATATATGTTTACTCCTGGAGAAAAAGCTGCAAAGAACAGACTTAAAATAATCCAAAATTTTCCTAGAAAAAAATAATAGAACTCCAGATTTCATCCTCACCTTTTAACTGAAATACAGCAATCAAAGCTCACAAAAGGCTACAGATCTATGATCACAACCATCCTATTACGGTTTCTAACCTAAATGAACTGAAATAATTGACATGTATATTTCATCATAAAGTTGATCGGACTGCCAAAGATCTAGCTAAAAATTAAACCCGACCCGAAATTCCTTCATCGTAATTCCAAAGCTCATTCTTCAGCTTAGCAAAAGACAAAATTGGGCAAAGTACAAAGTTCATCCTATTCATCTATTTAAAACATTAAGGATAGTGAACACGTATGCCCGTGTTTCAGGACAGGAAGTTGGCTGCCTTTTCCAATTTGTTCTGGAGTGGGTATCTAAAATTGCACTATCATATGGAGAAAAATATTATAGCAAGAAGTGAACATCTGATAAAGGAATCGATGGAAGCAAATAAATGAATAACAACTGATCAGAAAAGTGGAATGTATAATATGAACCAAATCATCAAAAATTACAAGGCAAACATGACCTATATATATATATATATATATATATATGTATATGTATGTATATATATTTGTATGTATATGTATATGTATATGTATATATATATATACATATACATACATATATATATACATACATATATACATATATATATATATATAATATGTATATGTATATATATATATGTATGTATATATATATATATAAACAATCCAAGCTGAAATGAATAAAGTAGCCTTTGCTCCTGGCACGCATGCCACCACCACCACCCCTCTTTTCATTCACGATCCCATGAGGTGGTGGTGGTGATAGGCCATCCCACCAGTATGCCCTCGGAAGTTTAATGTCTCCAATTTTTTTCTCTTCCTTGTTAATACCAGAAACCAGTTGATTGGGCTCGGCGTCGATTTTTCACTTGGATTAGTTCCAGTGAAGTAAAACAAATAAACAAGGGGCTCAATTTGATCCAAAGATCATGCTCCAACCAAGCCAACCCGTGACCAGTCAAAAAGGAATCATTGAACAGCCATGCAAAGAGATAACCAGACAATACAATAAAAATTAATAAGCTTCAGAAATTTGCAGTTTTAAATTTTATCAAATTTTCCAACAAAAAAACATAAAATTTAAATCAACAGTTGATAATGATTCCAATATCTGCTCCTACTGCATGAAATTAGTGTTGTATAAGCTCACCTGAATCTCTGGCAACATCCCTGTATTGTAAGAAAAAACAAGAGTGGCAGCAGCACCAATGGTACTGAAAACTTTGCTAGCATTAGAACCTGGAATGCTATAATCTCGAGCGGGAGTACTAAGTCCTGCATCAAAATAACACCGATATAATTTATAATACCTTACAGCTATTTTTGTTGCTCACAATTTGCTTGTATGTATATCAGGAATACAACATTAGCTTAAGTTGCCTAATAAGTAGTACCATCTTTGAGAGACAGCACGAATGCTGTAATGATGTATATCAGGCTCAAAAATGTTGAGAAGCCCAGCCAAATTCTCAGGGCTGATAAATGAGGTATGCCAAAAGCAAATAGTGCACAAACAAACCCAGCAATTGCTATACAGTAGGGAAGCTTCAAGACACCATCATCCCTATAGAGGACATATGTGGCCTGCACTAAAAAAAAAGGAGGTGAGAATTACAAAGCATGCAACAAAAGCCATTTTTACATAACATAGGAGGTCATGTTTCCTAATGATCTAGAATCTGTATATCTAAATTGTTTTGTGATTTATGATTTAGTACCAAACTAAATGAAACTACAAAAGAATCACTAGATGAAGATTTAAAATATATTTTAACAACTTGAGCAACAAGATTGAGATGATAGTAGGAGTTGCATATGTTACCTTTAATGCTTGCCCAGCCAGAATGATATATCCAGTGTTAATCATGAACAGATTAACATATTGCAATGCCCATGTAAGAGAATACATTTTCCTTCCTGCAAAATGGGCCCAAACAAAGGAAATCACTTAAACTTTAGGGAAGTTGAACAAATTGCCCAGTGAAAGAGATGTGCAATCATAAATGCTATAACTTGTTCTTAAAAGGATTTATGAGAAGGTAACAGAAAGGTCTTGCACAAAAATAAGAAACAATCATGTCAACCTTCAGAATCAATATAGGAGGCGCAAAAAAATTATTCAGCATTACCATATATATGCCCAGCAAGGTCTCTGTATCTGATATGCCGTTTTCCACCAACTTCATGGAGGCGGGCTATAAGAACATTAGCATAGAGGGATATAGCAGCTGCCAAAATAAACCCAGTTGTGCCGATGACCCAACCCAATGGAACCATGGCAGATCCAGAATAGCCTAAGACATAGGCACTGTTCACCCCGGTTGTGAGCACAAAACCAACCTGGTACCAAGGATCTGGACAACCAGCAAAAAGGAAAATGTGAGATGTATATACATATATGAAACCACATATGTCCTGAGGAACACACAAAATCCTGACATGCCAACGAAATGATACAGTTTTGTACAGTTAGAATATAAGAATACCATATTGAAAGAAAATTATGATAATATATTTCTAGTCTGATTATATGGAAAGAGGATATAAAAGGAGATACAAAGAAATGTTCCAACATTGGGTTTCGGCAAGATGTAAAAGTAAGACTACCTACACCCTTGGGTAAGATAGCAGATGCAAACAAAATAGGTCCTTGCAAGAATTGGCTCGTGTAGCACGCATTCAAGAAACCAAATCTTTCAAAATTTTCAGTATCACTTTTTAACAAATTGTCAAATAGTTCTTGGGAAATTAGGTTTTTCTCTAGTTTTGTATGTTTCACTTTTTTCTTGCGTCGAAGAAGGGAGGTTGCACACTTTCCGTTTCCGCTATTTGCTGATTAGGGTTTTCTTTCCTTCTCATAACGTTTTGCTTCTTTTGCTGCAACACTCTCTTTTCCTCCCTCTCTACCTGCGTCTTGTAATCCAGCATCAAGAGTTCATGCTGAAATATCGATCAAGAAAACAGAGAGGTCGAGCGGTGACGACCTAATCACGATGGATGACTCAACCACAACAAGCGCCCAAGAAGGACGGCTAGCAAACATCATGACCCCGGACATTCCAGGAATACAACATAACAACAGAATTTGGAAGGAGGGGGGAAGAGATACCGCTGCTGATCTGGTGAGCGGTGTCGTCGGAGGCATCAATCTTAGAGTTCGAGTCGGCGTCGCCGTCGCCGTCATTCCCGTGCCCGACGTGCAACTTCATCTCCGTCATTGCGTCCTCCTCCTCTCTGCCGCGATGTAACAGCAACGAGGTCTCCGAATCTCCCTCGTCCGCAGATATATCGGATGAGGCAAAGGACGAGGTGATGGTGGTGGTGGCTGAAGAGGCGGGGGAGGAGGAGATGAAGAAGCTGGGACTGGGTTCCACCACCCGCGTCGAGGCCTCTATTGGCGGTCCCCCTCCGCCTGTAATCTATACATGGAAAGGAGCGGCACTTCAAAAATAAAGGCATCAGAAATCCAAAAAATGAAGGATACGGAAAGGGGAGAGAGAGAGAAACAGAGAGGCATCGAAGCTTACGTCCATCGATCGGTCGAGACGAAAAGGAAAGCAGATTCGGGTGCGTGATTACAGAAAAGGCGCGGACCAGCAGCGAATTTGCCGCCTCCGCCGCTCTCGGTGCGCCGTCTATGAGGCGGCTCGCACTTCCCCCAAACCTAATTATTGCTTTCGGCAAAGCAGAGACAGAGACAGAGACAGAAGCGCGGTGCGGACGATTTCTCCAATCTGGACGTGCGCCCGATACGATTAGTCGGTTGCTGCGTACGGTTGCTCCCGCGACGGGCGAACGACAACCGACACGCAACAAATGATCGAACCGCGAGTGCTCGTGAACGTATCTCAACGGGTGACCATCGACGGCTCATCGCGCTTTCCGTGCGAATCTCGAAGCGCGCACCACCTGTCCGAAATATTGCGCCATTTTGTGTAATGGTAATGACGACGACGTGGATGTTGTCGTATGTGTTCCCACCGACCACTCACGATTCGGGTCTAAGGTGGCAGCTTTATTGCTCACTTTTCATGCATTATCCAATAAACATTTTTATTGATGAGGGATTTGAACATTTAGTATTGTCACATCGAAATTTTGTTTGGGCGACTCCTCGATTTTTTTTCTTAAATAAATATTTATTTTATATAATTTTAAAAATATCGATCTCTAAGGATAAAAAAAAAAGATAAAAGCGATGGTCTAAGGACGAAGAATATAAGAGTATCGACATGTGATAGACGAGAAAGGATAAAAAAAGACGAGAGCGAAGGTCTAAGGACGAAGAATGATAAGAGTGTCGACAAGGTAAGAAAATTAGAAAAATTTTAAAAAATCACTTAATTTATTTTTTATTATTATTTTAGTAAACATATATCTGTTGTTAATTAATATATATATTATATTTTTATAATCACTGAAACAAGGTTAAGGTCTTTAAAAATCATAATCATCTCTATGTCCTTTGGAAACATGGAAGGGACAAAAACTATACATAATAGATAAAATCATGAAGTTAAATGACAACATATTAGATACACTCTCCAACATTTTTTTTTCCAGGGGATAATTCATGGCAGGCCTGTGGACAACAATGCACTTCATGTAAACATGGACAGAGTCTACCATGGAAAATATGGAAGCAGGTAGCTTTGCCAATGGTATTGATGGAATTCACAGATGTACTTCATCACAATAATCCAACTTCACAAGAATAATATCATTAGTCCTTTGTCTGAAAAAGCCAAAGAGAATAACAATAGCTGCACAATGTTTCACATGCAATTCCTGATGCTACAGACTTCCCTCGGAAAAAGAAAAGGAAAAGAAATCCACTAAAATCCTCTACTGGAAAAGCAATAGAGTTAAAAAAGAAGAGCTGCACAATTTTTCACATGTAGTTCCTGATGCAACGGACTTCACTCAAAGACGTTCTTGATATGATGGTTAAAGGGGGAATGAATGAACAAAATGCCGTATTAGAATCAAACATTGGTCAGTAATTTCTTCTTTTCCAAAAGCGACCTCCTTGCTTTGATGTAGTACTTGATAAAACATTCGGTGTATACTCTCTCATACATCTGCACTTCCATATGAGCCATCTTCACGTAGCTGTCGATGCCATTTTCGTACTTCTCATACAGTGCTGGAACTGTTAGGATGATTACCAGGCCTGGTAAGAAGAAAGAAAAGAAGGCAGGTGAATTTAACACCAATCAGCAAGCTAAATATTTTTATTTGTGAGATTTATATATTAGCCTTTTTTTAGTCACCTTGAATGATTGAAACCAAAATGCCATCACTCAGTTTATATATTGATATAATCAGTTTGACTGACATCAATAACAACTTCAGAAAACAATGGTTCTGTGACAGTATGATTCATTGGACTATTAAGGTCAACTTTTTGAGCCGGCATTGATTACTGGGGAATTACACATGTATAAACCACCTAACACACTGCCCTTCCCTTTGGCAGGTTACCCCTATGTTGTTCCTTGGGTCAATTTCACAAAAGGCAAGAAACCAAAAATTAAATTAAGTAGTTCTCTAGGACTTCCTTTCTAGATTTTAGAAGCATCAAATGCCAGGAGAAGCACTTACTTGCGTAACCCAAAGTAAGAATATCAATCAAACCACTGACCATGGAAATCATCCATAAGCATAGAGCTATCATATAGAAAAGTTTTGTGTCTTTTCTGTGTACAATATCATTGAAAACCGAGAGGAGCACATTCACATGGAAACGAACAAAAACTGCAGCTTCACGCATCATTTCTTCGGAGAGGTGCATTTCTGGAATAGGTGGACGGGGCCTGCATTCATGTCAGGAAATAGCTGGAAATTGTTGAGAGTATGCTACAATAAGAATGGACAAGGAATACAACTAGCAATTCTAAATTCAGACAAAAGCACCCAAGTTCTGAGATGGCAAGTTAAGAACATTTTATTAGCAATTGTGTTTATTTAAAAGGAAAACATACACTCAATAGGCAATTTCACTTGTTTCTTTACAAGTACTCATATCAGATGTTTTTTCTATGCCGAAGATTCTGGATTAGGGTAGCTGTAAATTATGTATCAATGGTAACAAATTTTCAACTCTAGAAATTAAGAGATGACAGAATAGTAGGTGATCCAAGAATTCAGAGGGATAAATGTTGATTAACAGCAAAATGAGGACCATAATTGATCTTCGATTAGGATGACAAATAAGGGGCATCAACATTTATTTCACAGATTCCAATATTACAGTTTATGATGCCATTCATAGCCAATTGTTAGGAGTAGGATTAATGCTACAGTGTGGTGGGGTAACAAAAAAATTTCAATAAGGGTTTGAGGCCTTGGATTGATTTCTTAACACGGGAGAGTAATTGATAAATATTATTCACAGAGTACAGGTTGAATCTTTAAAGTGGAGAAGGGCATTGGATGTTTTGTCTGATGACCATATATCTTCATTATTAAAATAATTTTTTTTATAAGTTATTTATCATACGATCGATACTTTATGGATTTAAGTGTTGAGTGGTTAAAAAATAATCTATATAAAAAGTTTGTATTGTTGAGATAAACATGATAACGTGGATGTACTAATGTATTAAAAAGAGATATTAAAAAAAATATTCTTATTTGTGAATAATTTAGTGTGACTTCAATAGAAGATAAAACAAAGAAGAATCATTTACTAATGTATCAACATATACCAAAGAGACCTATAAATATTGTAGTTAGAATAGGTGAGGCAATATAAGTAGCACAAGGAGAGATAGAGACAAGTTAAAAAAGATTATAAATAAAGACTTAAATACTTTTAATTTAACTAAAGAGTGCTATTTTTTTAACAATCCATATAATCCAATCCCAAACGGTTGGAACATTACGATTTATTGTTGTTGAATTATATCTACTAACAAACTCTCCAATAAATGCTCCAAGCCTAACAATTGCCTAAAAATGACAACATGAACTATAATCCCATAGTGATTGGATAAGAACTGGTAAGAATGTTAGAAGATTTGATTATACAGCAGAATTGTTGACTGTTCTTTCTGCTTATCAACTACAATTCCATAGTCTACATAGGACCAAACAAAGATAACTGTGCAGTCCACTCCAAACTAGAATTAAAATCATGTAAAAGAAAAGTCTGCTAATTTCTGCAAACCACTTTGTAAAATTAAAAGGCTACAAGAACATGCTGGAATGAAATAGAAGAGCACCAAAACAGTCGAGGGAACACAGTTACCTGTTGAGGATTCCCGCAGCCCTCGACCACAAGAAGAGAATGGAAATCAAAAGCAGCAGAACTTTGGACAGGAGAGACAGCATAGTATAACCAGCTACTTCAAAGAGCACCCGGGAAGCCAGTGCTCCTAGCAGGATCCCTATCGTTACATTCTTTCTCCTCCAAAGTATCACATCCGCAACTGTCGATCACAGCTCCATTAGATCCCAACTGAACTAAACAGGAAAACCACAAGATCCGCGTTCGATCGGACAACCTTTGACTTGAGGATCGAGACAAAGTTCACCATAGGAAGGAAGATCGATCGGATCGTGGAAACCAGAGCGAACGACTAGAAAGGAGGGAAGGGGAGAGGAGGAGAAGAAGGGTGATTGCTACAGTAGGACTTACGGAAACCACCGCCGAGGATCTCGTGAACAGGGCGTTGCCTCTGCAAGGATCGAAGAGAGCGTATTAAGGATCGATCTTGGAACGAGATCATGATCGGCGAGACGATCGAGTCTTCCTACTTCTTCTCGTCGATCGTCTTCTTCTTCTCTGGTTTGGGGCGGCTTCGGAGGGCGGGTGGGTGGAAAAAAGACGCAGGTGGGCCATGGCGGAGGTATCCGACTCCAGCCTAAAAGCAGAGCAATAATACCGTCCGTCGCCTTCTTTGGCTTCCATTGCTTCTTTGATCTTTTCATTTCTACGTTTTGTCTAACCATCGCTCGTCCACTTGTGAAAGGCTTTTAGTATATATTGTAGAGAAGAAGAAAAGTAAGTGGAACAGTAGCGACACAACTCACGAATGGGCCACTGCTGCTTCAACTTTCCCTTTCTCTCTTTACTATTTACAGTTTTCATTTTATTATTGGCAATATTTTTGCTCTTGATAATATTTTTAAAAATAATATAATATTATTTTATTATTTACAATCTTAAAATTTTTTATTTTATCTTTATCTTTATTTTATTTTTTTTCTGTTTCCTTAGCCTTGCATTCCTTATTGATGTCATCGCCATCTCACATTTTCTACTTAAGTTATCGCTAATCATCGTTTCGTATTTTCTATACATACGGATACTCTCTCACTTCTTGCTCTTAGTCGTTATTCTCTTATATTCCTTGTTGTCTCGCACTCTTTACCAACGTAAATACTTTCACCATCTTCGCTCCCTACCAATGCTCCTCACACTCTTAACCAATAACGATGCTCCCTATCGACTCCAGAGGAAAACAAAAAAATGAAAAGAAGAAGGAGAAAAAGAGAGGGATGTTTCTATATATTTGCAAAGAGGTAGTTTAGAAATATTATTTTTGTAAAGAGATTATAAATATTAAAAATGAGTTACAAATAATTTTTTTCTCTAGAGCTTCCCCTTTTAATTTATTCTCATAAAGTATATTTTTATTTTTTAAAAGATAAGATTAACATTTGTTCATCACATCTATCAAATTGAATCAATTCATCAATAATTTGGTTTTGAAGACCGTTTAAAACGACACTCTTGTTATGTTCGATTATGCCGTTCACACCAAATCGAATCAATTTTAATTATAAAAAATATCAACCCAACTCAAAACCTCCAAAACTCTAAAATCTTTACCCAAACTCAAAGATTTCACCACACAACTTTTCCTCCTCCATCCCATTTTTACCCTAATCCTATTTTTTATCATCATTTTTCATTAACAATTCATTTATTGATTTGTACGAACCCCTTTATCGATTTTTATGCATTATTGCATATTCTCATCGTCAACAAGAAAAAAATTACTATTTAAAGTCGTTGTATCTGTAAGACATCTTTCAATAAAATATGAAAACCTCAAATTTCGTTTTTTAAGAATTTGTCCAAATAGTTTGAGACATCGTCTAGGGTGCTAAGTTGACTTTAAATTTTTCGTAAAACTCCATCAAATTTGTATCGGTTCACAATTCAACTAATTTGACCATTGTCATAGTCTAAGATACACAGTCCATAGCCAATCCAAAATTCCTATGAGCGGAGTCAACATTAGATATTAAAACTCTAATGATCTAAATAAAATAATAAGGTCATAACATTGTGCTACTTAACTACTAATTTATGATTTATTATATATAAAAAATATTGACATGATGATAACGTATCAAATTTATTTACCGAAAAAAAAATACTATTTTTAATTTATTTCATGCACAAAAATTCTTGTTGGGAGTTCAAAGTTGGTTGGGTGGCCTGAGAGAGAAAGGAATGGAGATATTTTTGATGCAAGAAGATGATGCGAGGGGGAGGTCGCTATCGTCTCATAAAGTCTCATCAGATATTTTTGGACTGGTAGTTTGCCGTCGCCGACAAGCTTGCTTTTGCTTTGGATCTATATGAAGCCCGAAGCCATGGAACTGCGATTGTGAGGATAAGGAGATCGATCCGATCGGTGGGTTACAACTTACATGGTGATGAGGCCCGATCGGAGCGACGCTCATCTGGCGCCGGAGGAGGAGGTCAAGGCGGAGGCGGAGGCGCGGGAGTACTTCGACAGCATCGCCCCCAAACGCCACACCAAGCCATCCCGCAGCGAGTACTCCGCCGTCTACTCCGATTCCGTCCCGCCCTCCGACGGCGACTCCACCCCCGAGCTCGACAAGTTCCGCGATCTCGAAGCCCACGACCAGGTCTCTCTCGTTCTCTCGTCTCTCCCTCGCAGCGGCGGTTCCTCATGTGTTTGCGTTAATGCCTTTCCTTGGACCTCAGAAACTGGTGTGCGAGGGGAGCGAAGCGGCGGAAGAGTATGTGGAGACGGAGTATTACACCGACCTCAACTGCATCGAAAAGCAACATCACACGGTATATTCTAAATATAATTGATTTATATGTTTGTACAACAAGAAAAATTAGATGAGCCTTCTCATGATTACTGGTTGTGGGGTGTAGACTGGAACTGGCTTCATCAAGATGGACAAGGGCGATGGCAACCGGTTCGAGCTGACACCAGCCTGCGCCTGTGATGCGTCTGGTTGCCACCCGCACCTGCAAGGAAACCCCGCAACCAACGAGTGGATTCCATCCGCTGATACTGTACGACCGAGCCCAGACTCGCACAAGCCTACGAGGAGCGACCTCTGACTTGGCTCGCAGATCTCTCTCTCTCTTTCAACGGAATAAGCGTTGGGTGTGTGTGTGCAAGTCATGAAACATGTAATCCTGCTCTGTTGCAACCTTTGTTCTATTGCTGTGTGTCAGTCTGGACTCCAAATCAATAATTATTTGCATTCTCCTATCAGATGTGTAATCCCCACTCATCCAAAGCAGCTGACAGTCCTTTATTAAAGCAAAGCTAGGAGGAAGAGATTGGGACAGAAACCATCTTTAACTCGCACATCAGTTCACCACTAACACCACTCTGTGATTTGCATCTTCCATCCAAAATCTTGGTCTCCTTTCATGAGCTATGCCAAATCATTCTGGATTAGTGACACTTCAGCTACCTTCAACCATATTGCAGATGCAGTACAATTACTGCTACAGGTTTTACACAAGAGAGGTGTTTCGGAGGAGGAAAGAGAGAGCAATCCTTATGTACATACATACATACATGTGAGGTGCTCAGGAACTTGAAGATTCTCTCAAGGATGTGATCCAAGTTGACCTGAACATTGATCAGATTAAGTCTATACAAGTCAAGTAGGCGAAACAAGTCAATTAGATACAAACATTAATTAAATATTTGGAAAGAGATTTGAACACAATCTGATACCATGATAAAATTTTTGATTATATAATAAATAAATTATAAAAACCTAAATTAATATAAAAGGATGCAAGGCATTTATGAACTCAACAAGATGTTTCTTTATATGATTCTAATGCAGTACGGATTTGTCATAATGCATGTGTTGTTCCTGTCATTGCCCAGCTCAATACAGCGATATCAATTGAACTCTAATGTCATCTTGATAGAGCAAAAGAAAACACCAGCAATCAAACAAGCATAAATACTGGTCACTGACATGCTTGCCAAGTCGAAATATATCTCCAAACAAAATTATCTCATAAACTGGAAGTAAAGATCTCTTAATCGCAGTCTTCTGGTTGAGTTAACATACCAGCCACAGCGGGAGCCACAGGCAAAGTGGTGATCAAAAGCAACAACCAGGCTTTAGTTAGCACCAAGGAATGTCTAACCTTGGGCAGACAATCTATAACATCAACCATGCTTACTACAAGTGGCACCACCTAACCATACATCTTCAGTGCAACTTTAGGTAAGCACCGATGATTATAGCAAGTCCGAGAAGAAATAGCAGATGCAGTGGAACCCTCAAACTTCAAATGTCACTATCAGGAAACCGTCTTAAATCTAAAGTGATAATCTTAGTTTATAGTGATTCAGAATTGTACCATCTTCACAATTGATGCTTCTAAATCATCACTAGCATATGAAATCCAGAATCATATGCCATAAAGCATCCCTCTGAATCATATCGATACAGAGTGTAATTATATAAGAGCATGTGAATCAAGACAACATATGATTCAAAGTTAGAGAAAGGACCTTGAATTTGCAATTTGTACTTGCAAGCACCTGTCCTGATAGAGCAATAACTTTGTCAAACCATAAAACTTCAAATTACTTGAAATCAGTTGATACTATTGACTCAGAAACAACTTTAGAAACCATTATACAAAACAAGGACAGAAGAAAAAAAAAAAAACAAGTCTAATGAATCCTAAAATCTGAACAACATCACTTTCAATTCATCGTATACCATCTTGGCAATTCATCATATAATTCTTATACTCAAGTAAATTTCTCCAAAAAATTGTTGAATAACCATAGAGCAAACTCGACATATCTCCTTCACATAAAAGATAACAAGAATAACACCTAATGCGATAGCCTACTTCAAACAATGAAGTTAAGAACAAGTAAATGTTGCTTTCTTCATGCCCATACCAGAAAGAAAGTTCTTAACTCATCCCAAATCGAGAAGTCAACAAGTTCATCATAACAAAGAGAATCATAGACGCCGCTATCAGAGAAAGAAACCCAACAATTACACTTTGGAAACAAGCAACAACTTCAGAAGCAATTTACAAGATCTAGGAGCAAAAGTTATATAAAACTACGACTTCCATGACAGTATGACATGTAGACTAAAACTAAGCACAGTTTTCCTTTTCTTTTTTTTCTTTTTTTTCCGGAGAGGCAACAACAGAATTGAATTCCCAAAACGAAGAAATCTCATTATTTGTCGATAATGCTACCATATTCTCATCGATCTTAATTTTCCTAATAGACATCTTTCTTAAGCAAGGAAATGTAACTGAGTACAGCAATATTAGACTGCCTAATCAAAGAACACAACGCCAAGTATATTATGCTAATCACAAGCTTCAAGCAGGATAATTTCTGAAGTGAATCATCTCGATCATGTAAAAACAGTGGTGACAATATCTATCCAAGAACGAAATATAAATAATTGCAAGAAGATAACAGAAAGATGTAGATTTCAGAAGAGTAACTTGTCATCCGTCATCACCATCAGGTGGGGGAGACAAGCGCAGAGGGGCATTGATCCGACGGAAGAGAACAGGTCGATTCGCCATCAGATGGATCCATTGATGGGGGAGGATCAGAAGGCCTGGAGGACGGGCCTCTTGCCGAGGCGCTTGATCTCGCGGTCCATCTGCCCGGTGAGCATAAGGACGAACATTTTGAGGTCGCAGAGGAAGGACCAGAGGGGGTGGACGAAGGCTGCGGGGGCGTTGCTCTCGACGAAGAAGTGGCTATACCAACCGAGGCCATAGCCGAGTAGGGGGGCGGCGAGGAGGAAGGGCCAGCGGCCGAGGAGGAGGGCGAGGAGGAGGCAGAGGAAGGCGGAGAGGGTGCCGGCGAAGTGCCAACGCCGGGTTGCGGGCTTCGAGTGCTGGTTCACGTAGAAGGCCCAGAACTCCTCCAGGCTCCGGCAGTTCATGCTCTCTCTCTCTCTCTCTCTCTCTCTCTCTCTCTCAGCTCGCTCTCGTCTCTCCCAGCTCGGGGGTCGAGAGAGCGGGGTAGAAACCAAACTGTGTGCCGGTGGCGTGGAATGGACGATCGGAGATATTATTATTTTATGTTAATAAATTACGTGACAAAACAAAAGGAAGGGAGTCTGCTATTTTGTAGAAATATAATCAAAATAATAAAATCTTTAAAAGGAATTTATTTATTTATTTATTTCCAAATAAGTTTCCTTTTTGTGAACAAATGGACAAAAGAAAAAACGAAGAGAATAAATGGATCAGATTAGAATAATCATAATTTGATCTCCATCATTGCGGCTCACTGTTTCAATGTTCGTAAATGCTTTAATCTTTTTCACGGGAGGAAAAAAATATATATTCATAAGTTTTTAGTTCACTCGATGTGTGATCTGTCGTAGAGGTGATATCATTTTCTTTGATTGTTAGCCTCTTACTTTTGTTTATAATATTATATATGTTTTATGATTTTAATATTTAAAAATATTAAATATGTAGTTTAATTGATCTATTGATTCAAGATTTGATCGGATTGACGTTTAATCTGATTTTGATAACTACTCAGAGAAACTTATAATTGACGTATCACAACATGTCTAGCAACAAAAACAATAAAAAAGAAAAAGCAAACTTTTCAGAGGTCGCTTAAAGTACAAGAAACTAATTAAATTAAGCTGACTGTGTGTGTTTGTGGCTGCAGTAGGTTAAAATGAGCCATGGTTGCATGTCTAAACCTTCCATATTCGGTAGGGAATACAGATGGTTTTGGACATGGGGACTTTATTATCGTTACTAATTTGAATCACTCCGTGCCGCTTTGGAGTATTGACGCTGATAGTGTCACAAATATTGTCAACGGATTAGTCGACTCGATTGGTTCATCGTCAAAGGTACATGCTTATTCTGACTTTGGAGGGTTCGTCGGGAGTGATCTAACTTTGGAATGGATAGACCGGGTAGAGGAATGTGGGTCTCCCTTACTACGACATTATCTCCTGGTGGCAGGGTCGTCTCCTGGCTGTCGGTAGTCTTGCCCAACAGGTCTACGTCGGGATGTCTCGACTCGACCCCTCCAATGCTTAAGTCAGTGAAAGATGAAAGGAGAGGAATACAACAATATGAGCTATGTAAATAAGAGAGCAAAGATGTTCTTGTCTACTTGGCCTTCCTCCTGGCGTCGGTCAAAGGTTCGACGTTTCTACCACTTCTTGGGGGTTGGTCATATGCGGGTTATTAATGATCACCGATATTCCAAACGATCGGTTCGTCTGCTCTAGACGTCACGAGCTGACTCTTTTGAGTCCGCACCGCGCGAGGACACCTTTGCACGATCCTGAGCGGTACAATTACAGTTGTGCGTCGTTTTGGAGTCTGCTACGTTGCCTTTAGATCGTACCACACACATGCGTCATGTTGTCTCTGAGATGCCACGTCGATTTCAAGGTGACTGTTACTGTGAGAGTGATATCAAAATATTCTATATCATATATGATATTTTTATAAGACCTCTTATTAGTCTCGTATTGGAAATAAATAAAATTAAGATTAATTTATAAAAATGCGATGAGTGAACTATTATAAATGATAGTTTCAATATATTAACTAGTAATTTAGGTCAAACAAATTTGATAAGTCAATTGGCCCACTTCACATTAGGTTTTATGAGGATTATTGGTATGTTAAGTGTAACGAGAAGACAATTAACTTATCTAGTTTTAATATATAATATTTTATTATTTTTTGTTTAAAAAAAAACTGATTGGTCTAAATGAGAAAAATTAAAAAGGCTGGGAATATGTCAAATTCAAAATCAAACAAGTATTGAGACTGATATGGCTGGACTGAATTTATCTTTGATCCAGAAACATATAGGAACCAAATATTAGATCTTACAAACGAGAGTATTGAGATTGATCCTAATTAACAATGCTCATGCTAATCTTCCCTCGTTGTTCTAATACATGGCACGTCCCTGTTGTTCTGACAAGCATTCATCGTTAACAACTGAGAGTGATGATGGACGAATATTACAACTTCATTTGTTGAATCCACCTACACGAACCTCTCTAATCGTACACACAAAAAAATACTCACAAAAAATCAGAAGAAAACCTGTTCTGCAGTTGCATGTAGATTGTAGAAAACTGTGGTGCCGAAGTAGAGTGCTGCAGTGAGTGTGAGGAAGGCTTGGAATGATCCCAACCACTGCACGAAGTAGCCTGTTCCGATGGTGCTGATAATAGCTGCCAGTGTGCCAGCAGAGTTTGTAATCCCTGTTGAGAGGCAATTAGATAGTGCCTAATGTTTGTATTTCTCATCATAGTCATTTAAGAGATTATTAAAGGAGTCGTGCAAAGGGCAGACAGATAGATTGGTTAAATACTCAGCATAAGCATGATTATTAGTCATGTAAGAAATCCTGTAGAGAGTGTTGGGCTAGTGATAGGTGATCTTACCATGTAGAAATCCTGCATATTTTGGAGCAATGTCCTGTGTCGTATACAAATTAGAAAAACTCCAGTCAGCCAACAACAAGATTTTTAATGTCTTGCAGGTTTGCAGCAAAGAGACCCACTTCTAGCTTTCATCCAAAGAAGAAAGAAAAAAAGCAGCAGCTTAATAATACCTGTATGTTAAGAAAGTAGCCAGCTTGACTGAAAGAGCTCAAGCTCAGAGCAATGGTCATGAGAACTGCGGCTGCTGTTGGTGTTTGTGCATACCTTAAGCACAACAATGACACCGCTGGTCCAATAAAACCGATCGACTGCAACATGACAAGAGAAAATAATTAGCACACGCATCAGTTCTTCAGTCTTCAACGACACCATGATGATTCTATTTGTCTTGGATCATTGTATGTCGTACGAAGATGACCATATACTTGGAAGTGTTATCTGGGGGGAGGGAATAAAGTTAGACGGACCTGCATGAGCTTTCTAACTTTTGTTATCCTGCATCCAGATTTGATCATGAAGTCCGAAGAAGCTCCTGCGATGTAACCAGACAACGCCATTACTCCCCATGGTACCGCACTGAACCACGCCGCTTGCTTCAGGTTCACGTTGTAAACCTGTGTCGATAAGAAACGAACAAGCACAACGATGAACGTAGTCAACCAGAGACGGCATATAAACAGAGAAAGAGACGGTATTCCCATACATACAGTCTTAAAATAGACGGGCAACCAGGATAGAAGTACGAAGTACCCCTGCAGGTGCAGATAGATCATGTCAGACGCAGCTTAGATTTTTGCTGCTTGAAGCTAACCGAGATTAAGCCATGAATCAGCAAAGAACACGGTCGCCTAATTTAAGCTCACCCAATTGTTGGCCATGTTGGCAAGAATGCAAGACCAGGCGGGTAGCTTGGAGAGCAAGTAGCGAAGGGGTGGAAGTTGGCTGTTCTCCGTCTTCAAATCCATCTTCCCAGCTCGAATCAGCTGCAGCTCAGCCTGGCTAATCCGAGGGCTGTCGCGAGGATCGTTCGTGATTCCCAGCGTCCATGCCGACAGCCAGATGAAACCGAGAGCGGCGAAGAAGGCAAAGGCCCCATTGATCCCAATGCTCGACAGTATAATTGGCGATGCAAGAAAGCTTATCACGTTTCCCATATGGAAACCAGCCATGGAAATGCCGACTGCACTGGCTCGCTCGCTGCATGGGAACCATCTGCACCGAAATAAAAGCTCGTCAACAACTACCATGCGACATGTTATGGTTTGGTCAACGGGAACAGAGTGGTGGCTCACCGGAATAAAAGCGTGCTCATGGAAGGAAAGGCGACGCCTTCGGCCAGGCCGAAGAGAGCGCGGACCGCCAAAAGCATGGCGGTGGAATGGTTGGCGGCCCACGGAGTGAGGAAGGTGGCCAGGGACCAGACCGCCACACCGCACGCCAAAACTCGTTTACCCCCGTATCTGTCCGCAAGAGCTCCTCCGGCAACCGATGAAATGAGATATCCCCACAGAAATGACGACTGTCAAGCTTCACAAAAGTCCAATCAGTCGTCTGTAGTGGCGATGGATCAACGGTTGAGGTTGAAAACAGATCCGAAATACCTTATACTAGGTGGACTACTGGATTACGGTGACAATGACTGACATGGATTGGGATCGATTCATGTACGAGTAATAGACACCATTTTTATTATAATAATGACAATCCGACATGAATGAGATAGGCAAAGAAAAAGAAAATGAAGGACAGTAAATTGGCCGAACACAATATTACATGTGCCCCGGACAATTTTATCCTAAAAATAAAATTTTATTTTGTAATGTTCAGTTTTTTTTTTGCTATACTTTTTATTTTAATTCTTGTCCTGCTTATGAATAGACTTGATATATATATATAGGACGGCGACCATTGGACTCGGATAAAGAAAACTTTAGTGGTAGGTGAGCGGTGGCGACCAACGCCGATAGAAATAATTTCAGGCACGTCGAGCCCACAGTCCGCGGGACACCAACGGGTCCTGCTGTCTAGGCGGACAGACTCGACCCTGGGAAATGTCAGGGTGATATAACTAAGAAGTGTCAGGGGTCAATGTCATCCCTCCGAATGACCACGTCAATCCTAAAAAGTGTCAGGGGTGATTCAGCCGTCATCATAGCTCTGGTAAACCTATCTTCTCTCTGCATCTACTTCGGTTCGCTAAAATGACGTACCTCCACGTTCCACGCCTAATTCACACTCCCAAGACTTACCTCCCGAAAAGAACTTGGCTCACAGAGACGCCAAGGGTCAGGGCCCCAAAGAAAAAGGTCCACGTCTGATGAGGGAGGTGGTACGGACGGGAAATTTTTTTGGGCGGGGGGCGGGAGGGGCCCACTAAACGTTGGCGCAGGAGGAAAAAGAATTTGAACAAGAATGACTCACCTGTTCGTTTATCTTCTTAATATCTTGACAAAGGACTGAGGTGGATTAACAGATTCTTAATAGGATGCACAGATCAAGGACGTCTCCTCTTCTCCTTTGACACGATAAAACAATTCAGTGTGTTGGAAGCTTAGGTGGTGAAAGTAAAAACCCGCTGCTGCTGCTAGCAATAATGGATGATAGAAAAATGTGAGAAACTTGAGATGCGTGTGCCGAAATCAACGCATGAAAGTTCGTTCAGAGAGAAAAAGAAACCCTGAAACATGAGATCATGAAGGAAGGAGAAGATAATGGAGAAGGAAGGAATAGATCTGGACCTGCACGATTCCTAAGAAGGAGCTGCTCCACCCGTAGCGGGACGCAAGCGGGACCACCGCGACCGACATCACCACCCGATCCGCGTTGCAGAGGCACATGACCACCGCCAACATCAGCAACACCTTCGCCCGTTCCGGAATCGCCACCGCCGCCCTGCCAACCTGCCCTCTCTCCAACCGCCTCCCGATCCCCTCCGCGCTGCACATCATCGCCCCAGCAGCACCACCTCCACTCCCGCCCTTCTTCTTCCCCTTCCCCTGTCCATCTCTCCCAGACCATGCCTCCTGTGTCTTCCCACTAACAAGAGCCTCTCGCGATATACGATTCCTCCCCTTCGAGACGATCCGAAGCTTGGAGCCACGGCGGCCATCCGAGACGCCGATTGAACTCGATATCGACGGCGGCGAGGATGACGAAGGGGACGACGAATGCGACCAACAAACGGATCTGGATGAAGGGGAGGAGAGCACCGCCATGGCAGAAGCAGATGGCAGGAAGGACAAACACAAGGAGTGCCGACTTTGATGCCGGGGAAGGAACGAACTTTATAGAAAAAAAAAAGGACCATCTGATGACACGAGAAACCAAGATCAAGGGACAGGATGCACGCCCCTGACGTGTCGCGGGAGTCGCACCTACCACGCCGCACCACCAAACTAAGCACGCTGGAAATGAAAGCCGATGACCGCACCAGCGGCAGTGCAGTGTTAAAAAAAAGATGCTTTTCGTTGACGATTTTAGCGGATGACCGCACCATCGCCATCGGGTCGTCGTGACGGGATTAGTGCTAAATCGGATGGATTGATGGATGGACGGACGGATGATGACGAGAGGGGGTTGGAAGCGGTCTCTGATGAGTTGTCAGCACATGGAAGCAGTAGTGGACTGTGTTGTAGTTGGAGAATGCGGTTAGGTACCTGATTGGAGTCGGAGGTCCTGACTGACTGATTTGTTAGCTCGCACGGGTGCTTCTTCGCTAACTTCAAATATATCAGAAAAACTCACACATAAGAATCTCGAGAGTACATATAGAGTTTACGATATAGTGATTAAAAAAGCTTAAAGTCAAATAATTTTGATTTAAAATTTAATATATTAAATTTATTTAATACAAAATTTAAAATCTTATCTAATATATTTTAAATATTAGAAAAATCTCATAAGCATAACAACAAATAGAAAGCACTTGCTGAATGAAACGAGTTGAAATAGAGCATTAGGTAATCAACCTCCTGTTAAGATTTAAAATATTATTCTATAAAGATCTTAATATTTTTATCTTTTATTTTTAAATAAATTAATAAATTAGAGTTTTAGATATAAGAGTCTCTCGATCTAAATTATTATTCTATAACTATAAATAAATGATATTATATATATATATATTAATTTAAATCTCAAGTGCTGAGGTCTATAGGTTTAAGTCAAAGAGTAGTTAAAAAGTTTGTAAATATTTTTAAAAAAATCAATATTATTTTTTTTCCCTGTTTGCGTGTTTGCATATGATCTTTCTTTTCTTTTCTTTTCTTTTCTTTTTTCTTTTCACACCCATGTCTAAACTTGTTAAGAATGACCACCCACAATCTAATTTAAAAAAGGCTTAATGGATGTCGTTTTCCTGATGATATGAATATTGTGATCCTCCCGTAGAGACGGGCTTGGTCAACAGAGGCGGCACCAAAAACAAAAGAACAGGTCAGTTAATGCAAGGTTTTCTGTAAAGAAGAACAAAAAAGTTTCCGGAGTGACGAAATCTTAAATGAAGCAACCAACCATCTTTACATCTGAATGAGGGGGGAGCGGAGTAGCGAACCGAAGCGATAAGTAGATCTCTTAAACGATGATCACCGAGGGGAGGTCGGCCGGAAGGGGGTGTTTCGGCGCCTATTTTTCTCTTCCCGCGCACCACCCGAGCGAATGCGATACCGACATTGTTGCCGAAACAGGGAAGTTGGTTCTGCGCAGGTTGATGAACAACTAGGTAGTTCATATACTGGAACAAATCAAAACCATAATTGTAATCACCTATAGATCATCAACACGTAAAGCTAATATCATTAGAGAGAGTTCACTCTACTGCTCGTTGTCATCCCTCTCGGCCTGCTCTGGGTCATCGCCTTCTGCAGGCGAAGGTGGAGTACCCAACCACCGAGAGGCCTGTCCACTCTGGTACAGCAGCTTGCAAGTCTGGGCCGCGTCCGATGCGTTTCCTGCGGACAGAAAGAAGCTTCCTCAGGCCTTTTCCTATGTTCGTAGCGATCCTTTTCGACCTCCGTAATGGTTGACTCAGCATTCCATCTGGACCATGCTTCGTTCCATGTTTCCTGATTGGTCCTTTGGAGGAACCTTGCTCGCTTTTCTGTTTCTTCTGAAACAAACACATAAACTTGATTCTTTTCTGTTTCCTTCTTTTGAGTGTAACCATAAGAAGATATGAAGATAAAGAGCAGCGATTCTTGAAGGCAACATTACCTTGGTGGTAGAAGAAGCCGGAGACCGAAGGTCTCTTCCGGTCGCGTCACCCACCCGCAACACCGCTCGGGCTCTGATCGTCTTGTTTCTAAAGTCCGGCGTCGTGTTAAGTGGCTCGACGGCGACGCCTCTGAGCCATCCTAGCAGGCCCAGAAGCTGACGCCTGATCCTGTGTTCCCCGCTGAAGGATAAACCATCTTCTCGTTTAGATCCGACGCCCCGAGGAGCTTCGATCAGCCCGGATGAGGAGGATGCGGAGCAGCTCGTGGTCGGATCGGGCGGCAGGGGAGAGAGAGGAGCGCCCGCCGCGGATGATCATGCGAGTAGGGCCGAGAGCGACCCCATCTCGACGAAGCGATGAGCCGCCCATGTGTAACTCCGACGACGACGACGATTTTATAGCGCGAGGAGGGAGAATATGAGATCTCTGGCGCCAGTGATCACCGAGGTGAGGTCGGTGGGAGAGGCGAAGGGTGAAGAGGGGTTTGGCGCCATTTTCTCCCTTTCTGCGTACATCTGACTCTGCCATCAGCCGCCCATGCCAAAAGGAGACAGGTTGTTTTGCGCAGGTACACATCAATCATTTTAATTTAAAAATAATTAATTTTCAAAAATTTGTGTGTGTGAGAGAGAGAGATATTTCAATTATTTTATTTAAATCAACTATTTTATCATTAGATTTTTATTTTATCAAAATAATTTAATTCTTCTTCTTTTTATTGTTTGATCAGTCAAATCAATAATCATATGTTTTTCTTCTTGATCTTCATTTAAATGCATTCAACTATATCCAGGATTTTATTTGTGAACACATTTACATTTTAAATTATAATTGAAAAAAAAAAGCTTGAGTGAACGTACAGTTATAAAATACTTTAAGTGTTTGATAAATAACTAATAAAAACTACATTTTATATGTGCATTGATGTAATTAATGTTTGATAAAATTATATTTCAAAAGTTCATTAATTTTTTTATGATAAATTTACCTTCTAATATTTTTAATATTTATTCAAAATTAAATAAATATTTTTATTTAAATTAGTAAGTAAATAAATAAATGATGTATGCAATCTTATAAAAAATTTCACATAGTCCAAATATAGAATAAACAAAAAATACAATCATGTTGATTTCTCACTAAATTATTTTGATAATCTTATAATTTTAGATAATATCATAAGGTATTTTAAAATTTTTAAAAATATATTAACATCCCATGAATGCTGAAATGCTAATGCTACCATAAGGTAGCATCGACATTTGAGCATTTCTAATACAACATCCAAATTAGATGTGATTTAAAATATTTATCAAACACCAATTCACATTTAAAACATGGATTGGGCCCTCATTGTATATTTCAAATGTGTGTTCTCAAACAAAACATACCCCGAAGCTTTTATAACTAATACTAAGTTAGAAATTAGAATTATTTGACGTGAAGGTTGATTGAGATTCAATCGTGATCTTCTTTCTGTGTTTGACAAAGCCTCCTCAATTCTTAAATTATCCTTTTAAAAATATGGTATGAGACCATTATACTGAAGTCATAATTAAAAATCAAGAACAATTACATGTCTTTCCCACCTCAAGAACAATCATAGAGCTCCGAATATGGAATATGTGGGCTAATGGTTGACAAAGTCATATTTTTATTTGTGTAATATGACTGACTCCACAAGGCCGAGTTGGTCTCTTAGTAAGCGTGACACTGCATCGAAATGAGGTCGAGGTGTCAGTCAAATAAAGGTGACCTATCGATTTGACAACGATGATGTGACGATGAATAACAATCCACATATCACAATTCATGTATTATCACCTAATCAACGTTGTCTCTCCCCATCATCAATTAAGTCTCTCTGAAACTTGTATACCTAATCAAATCCTATGTTCTTACTCAACATTGCAGTATGCAGAGGTCTCATTGGCAAGAAGCTAAATATGTTTTTGTTTCGCTCGCTTTGGTTTTCTTCGAAGTGTAGCAAGAAGCTAAATGTTCTTCCATATCTACTGGAAAATGACTTGCAACTCATACAATGTGGGTTCCAGAAACATATGATACAGAGAGATATGTGACCTTTATGTGGGATTTAAGTAACGCAAGTGTATTCCGTGGTTATTCTACCAAATCCTTGCTTGCCAAGGTTCCTCCCTCTACCTAGAATCAACAAGGACTTGGCAGCTAGAATTCCAGTCTCCTTATAAGCTCCTGTTTCCCTTCTCACTCCATTCGTGCAAGTCCAAGCTCACCAAGAGAGGGGGAGAGTGAGAGAAAGAGGGAGGAGGTAAGCAAGAATGGCAGCTTCTTCTTCATTGCGAGCTCTGATCCTAGTGTTCTTCCTACTTCCGTTGCTTGCAGAGGGAATTACTCGTCACTACAAGTTCAATGTGAGTATCTCGGCCAACGCAACATTGTACACTTTTGCAGTAGGTAATAATGCAACAGCTTCGTCGTCCATGGATAATATTTTGGGGTGTGCAGGTGGCGGAGAAGAAGTTTACGCGGCTCTGCTCCACCAAGTCCATCGCCACCGTGAACGGGCAATTCCCGGGGCCAACGCTGTACGCGAGAGAGGGCGACACCGTGCTCGTCAAGGTCGTCAACCACGTCCACTACAACGTTACCATCCACTGGTGAGTAGTCAGTCTCCACCATCCTCGTCGATCCTCGATGTCACTTCCAACTGTCACCCACTTAGTTCGCCAACCAACCCACGTAGAGACCACGGAGCTTAACTGCATTGCAGCCAGCGTAAGCAACCTGCAATGGTAGACCATGAAGAGTAACATTGGCCTTCCCTTTCCCAACCTTTTTCTCCTAACACAGACCCTACATGGTTGAACCAGAGGACCCTAACACCAATTTGGACGCAGGCATGGAGTTCGGCAGCTGCGGACCGGCTGGGCTGATGGACCGGCGTACATCACGCAGTGCCCGATTCAGCCAGGCCAGAACTATGTGTACAACTTCACCCTCACAGGGCAGCGAGGCACGCTGTGGTGGCACGCCCACATCTCATGGCTCAGAGCTACGGTTCATGGCGCCATTGTCGTCCTTCCCAAAAGCAACGTCCCCTATCCCTTCCCCGCCCCTCATAAAGAAGTCGTCCTGGTCTTGGGTAGTAGCTCTGAGCTCATTCATCAAACACATGATGTGCCTGGAATACTGCAGTATCGCGATTTCTAACGATTGATCTGCTTGAACTCCATCTCAGCTGAATGGTGGAAATCCGACACTGAAGCCGTGATAAACGAAGCTCTGAACTCGGGTCTTGCCCCCAATGTATCTGATGCTCACACCATTAATGGCCACGCAGGGCCTCTCTCCGGCTGTTCTTCTTCAGCACGGGGTAGTGTCATCTGATTCATCCACTTGCTTCGCGTGGACTGACATTAATGTCGGTTTGTGATGCTAACCTTTGCATGCATGCAGATGGGTTCACGTTGCAAGTGGACAAGGGCAAGAGGTACCTGCTCCGGATCATCAACGCCGCACTCAACGAGGACCTCTTCTTCAAGGTCGCTGGCCATCAGCTCACCGTCGTCGAGGTGGACGCCGCTTACACCAAGCCCTTCACGACCGACACCCTGCTTCTCACTCCCGGCCAGACCACCAACGTGCTCCTCACCGCCCGTCAAGGCGCCGGCAGATACATCGTCACCGCTTCCCCCTTCATGGACTCGCCGCTGGTAGCGGTGGACAACAGGACCGCCACGGCCACCGTGCAGTACGCGAACAGCGTCTCCACCTCCGCCATCACCACCACCAAGCCTCCGCCCCAGAACGCCACCCCGGTGGCGTCGAGCTTCACGGACTCCCTCCGCAGCCTGAACTCGCAGCAGTATCCTGCCAAGGTCCCGGCGACCGTGGATCACTCTCTCCTCTTCACCGTGGGCCTGGGAGTGAACCCGTGCGCGACCTGCGCCAACGGGAGCCGAGTGGTGGCGGACATCAACAACGTGAGCTTCGTGATGCCGACGACGGCGCTCCTCCAGGCGCATTACTTCAACGCGAGCGGGGTGTTCACCGATGACTTCCCCGGGCAGCCGCCCATAGCTTTCAACTACACAGGCAGCGGCCCGCGGAACTTGCAGACGATGAGCGGGACGAGGCTCTACCGTGTCCCTTACAACGCATCGGTGCAATTGGTTCTCCAAGACACCGGGATCATAGGACCAGAAAACCACCCCATTCATCTCCATGGCTACAACTTCTTCGTGGTCGGAAGAGGTGTCGGCAATTATGACCCCAAATCATCCCCCTCCAACTTCAACCTCGTCGACCCCATCGAGCGAAACACCATCGGCGTTCCCTCTGGTGGATGGACTGCCATTAGATTCCGGGCGGATAATCCAGGTGCCTGTGTCCTACTCTCTCTCTCTCTCTCTCTCTCTCTCTCTCGCTCTGTGGCATTGTCGATTCCATGCATGATTCTAAAGCAAAAGGCTCTACTGTGATGCAGGTGTTTGGTTCCTGCATTGCCATTTTGAGGTGCACACGACGTGGGGGCTAAAGATGGCATTCGTCGTGGACGATGGCGAGGGACCAAATCAGTCGTTGTTGCCGCCTCCAAACGATCTTCCATCATGTTAGGCACCGGCCAGCCCATCTCTCCCGCACAAGCTGAGAGGCGGTAGCCCAATGACAACGTCATGTTCTTGATGGCTAGACAAAGTGTTTTCTCGGGCCTTGTTTTTTTTGGTTTCTCCTTTTATGGTGCTGATTTGTGCTATGGATCCTCTGTTTTTGGATTGTACTTATTTGATTCATTGAACAATAAACTTCTTTGTGTAAATCAATGTGTTATCCATCTAAAGATGATGATGAAGTCTTTGATCCGTCAGCTCATTTGATAAAACACTATGTAAAGAAAGAGAGATCCCAAAATAGCATGTAATGAAAGAAAGAGAGATATTACATGTAAACATAATTATTTCTTAAATAATAGTAATCAGATACTATTAGCCTAAGATCAAATCAAATAGAAAAAAAGATATCAAGATGAAAGTAAAAATGATAAGGTTATATTAAGCTTTTAGGAAAAAAAATATTTATAAGATCTTAAATTGTTGTTTGACTTAGAGCTTTATAGACCTTAACACTTGAGATATAGATTGATCTATATATGTAAATATCATTTTATTTATTTATAGGTGTAGAATTATTATTCAAATCAAAGAGACCTTAATCTTTTAAATTATATCTAATTAACTTACTTAAAAGATAAAAGATAAGAATTTTAAAATCTTATAAAACATAATAATTTAAATCTTAACTCTTTTTCCTGAGGTATACTTTTAGATATAAGTCTCGGCTTATTTTGAAGATATTTAAATGATCATTTGGAGAAATATTTTATAAAGATATCCGTAATATTATCTTTGTTCTTAATCTATTACTTCAATAACTCCTTAAAGCACTTTTTCTTAGTTGAAATGATGTTCAATTTTAATATGTTTAGTTCTCACATGATAAATTAAATTTATAGCTAATTTTAAAATACTTTAATTAAAATAGTTGGTTTGTTAACTTGATAGCAAATGGTCCCGATGAAACGTCTTAACCATAATATATATTCTTGAGCAATAAATGAAGAAGCTCCATAATTGCTTCATAGCATATCATAAGATATAATTAAAAATATATAAAAAGGCATAACCAAAAGTATATTTATGATTATCTAAATCTCCTTGTAGTTACATAATAATGCAATTCAACATAAATACTCTTCTCATATAACAATCTAGTATTCACATATTTTAAAATTTCTTTGACTTCTTTAGAGATCACATAAAATGACTTATAAAACTAATTAAAAATATCTTATTTTATATTCATCATTTCTAGACTAAGAAAAATATTAACCTCCCCAAGACTTCCATTTTTAAATATCTATTTCATGATAATTACGTCAATATCTCCATATTGATAAAGATTATGAATTTAGTATCATCATGAGTGAGATAATAATTGTATCCTTAATCAACTATCCAATCATGCTCCAAGTTGTTGGATATTATGGCTTCAATTATAGCAATTTCAGCTATAAAATATTTGCCACCCTAATCTTCATCGGTGAAACAATCTTTTTTATTTATTTTTTTATCTTAATACGATAATTATTTTGATATAATCTAACTTGACACACTTAAACACTTGATTTTCTTTTAATTTATATTATTATTTAAAAAGACTGGCTTGTTGTTAATCTTATCATTCTTCTCTTTATATTTATTATTATTATTATTATTTTAATAAAAAAATATTCCTAAGAAATAAGAAGATTTTTTAACTCTACTAAGAATGTTGTTGAACTCATTCTTGAGTAGATATAACATAAAAAAAATTTCAAAGATCATAAACAATATAATATTTTATTCATGCATCATAAAAAAAACTTATTTAACAAAAAAATTCAATTTTTAAAAATATTTTAAAAAATAAGATATCACCTTGGATAGTATTTGCTAAAACATTCTTTAAATATTGAAACTGAGTTATATATTTTTTTATCGAGTAATACATTAAAAATTATCTAAATATCTGAAATTGATTTGTATCTAATAATGTGCTCAAAGAGATCACGAGAGATAGATCTCTTTAACACAATTTCAACTTTTACATTTAATGTTCTTCATCTTTCATGATATCTTTATAGTAGCGTAGCGTATGATGTTATTGTTATATTGTCACTAACTACATCTTATAGATTTTTCCTCGTGATATAGAACTTCGAACAAGTCTTTCAGATATTATTGTTAGACTAATCGAGAAGTTTAGTATCAAACCTACTAACCCTATTATTATAATTCATAGTAAAAAAAAATTATTTTTTTACGAAAGAGATATTTGATCACCCTTATGACTTTAATATCATGGCATGTAAGTGAGATCCTTTCTCAAATAGTAATAACAACATATTACTAATCAAGATCAAACCAAATTAAAAAAAACACTTATAAGATATATACTATATGCTTGAACAATTGATGTGGATATATAAATAATGATTTAAATTAAAAATTCCGATTTTATCTGATTAACTAACTTGTGAAAAATATAAAAAATAAAATAAAAAAAAATTCGAAAAATAAAATACTGTAAAATGTAAAGACAGTGGTACCACCAGGGTGGGACATGGATGGCCGAGCTCGAGTCACGGTGTCCATCAATGGGACAGCCATTGTCGACAGGAAGAAGCAAAGAGCAGTGTCGCGGATGGGTGCTCCTCCTCCAAAAGGCCATTTGGTGCGCACCAAAAAGTCCACCAACCTTTTCGTCGAAGCACGCACACTCTGTGCCTCGGAGCTCACCTTCGAAAGGTGCCCCTCCTCCTCCCTCGCATGCCTTCCGGAGTGGAGAGCTGATACGGACCCGATGATCCCAGAATCCGGTCCCCAACCTAATAATGGGAGTAGTAGATACTCCTCCTTCCCACCATATAAATATCAGCACTGGTGGGGTGGAATCTCTTCGCCAAGATAGCTCCAAACTCATCTCCACTCCACCACTTCTCTCACCGGGGAATCATTCTCCACCCCCGTCCGTATCAGGTGCAGCGTACTGACTCCCATCTTAAGGGAAGCACAAGACCATACTTTATACTTCACACCCCCCGTTACACGGGCATCGGCGAGCGCGGAGAGGAGACAGACGGTAATGGCGGCACCCCCCGCGGTGCTGTGTTGGTGGAGGCGTGATGACTTTACGATCATTGGCGTGGGAAGTGCGGGCATGTGCCCACAAATTTCGTGCGAACGCGAGTACCGGAGAGCATGCGAGCGGCGCGAGCTCCAGGACCGTCTCTCTGCGCTCTGGATTCCGCCGTGGCGTGCCATGATTAAGCCTTCGGTGTGTTGTTGGCTGTCGCTGCCATCACGGTGAGGCCCACGGCAACGTAGACAACGAAATAATGGATGGGGCACCAACTGTTTGTTTGTATGCCTGCCTGCCTGCCTGCCGCCCTCTTCATTAAGCTGATACAGATACAGGAGGAGGGAAGAAAGAAAGAAAGGCACACATGCATGTCTCGCTATCGTCTGAAATGTTTATCCCTAATGATGACTACGTACTATACTCAGCAGTGAAAATAATAATTGATGTAATATTTCATTTGTGGTAAGATCATTTAGCTTCATATTGATTGAGGAGTACGTGAATCAAGGATTCGTTCACAGACTTCGAAAAGATAAAATCGTACGAATACGCTCATCGTTCAAAACAGACAATTCCTTACGAACCTACGAATCACATCAAATCGAATCAACACATTGCTGACTTGATTTGAAAATACGATCCCTCCCTAATAGAAATGCATTCACGTCTAATTTGTCATATTTGTCTCCACCACTCAGAACATAAAGTGCACGGCCCTAATAAACAAAATTTTCTAATCATAATTAATCGACAAAAGGAATCCCAATTATATATAATTAGGCCTCATCGTGCTCAAAGCTTCGGCACGACTAAAAGCTCAGAATCTTTGGGACTCAACTGATCATAAATGATGACAGCTCTCATATACTCTCGTAAGTCTTCTTTTCGGTGTCCGGAAAGTCTGTTTAATCATTGGGGAACGACGTGAAGTCAAAAATAACATTTATGATCAGTTCGAATTCGACATGAACTCCAAATTCTTTATTGAGAATGAATGGATAGTAACTCACATTATAGTCCAATCGAACTCATCGAGTTATTATAATTAAAGTCACATAAATAGCTTCTTATATTTTCATATTAATCATTCTTTTTCGTTTATGGTGCTCATGCAATTTCTATTATTGAGATGGAATGCCAAGTGGGGGACATGCATGCAGGGAAAAAGACATTTTGAAAGGAAGATTACTATTTTTAAAAACTATTAAAAAAAAGTCAAAATTTCTCATTCCTCTTATTTTATATTTATTATTTTAAGTCCAATTTATACAAAAATTTGTATTTAGGTATTCTTGTGGTTAATCTCATTTATTGACTATTAATAAAAAATAATATTAGTATTATATATGGAATTTGTAAGGGATAAAACATTTTTTTTTACTTTTCTAAGAATAAATATGTGAGGAGGAGCGAACAAATTTTCAAGAAAAATTACAGATTTGTGATTTTTTTTCAAATCATTTTTTAAGAAATATTATTATTTTTACAAAATAATCAAGTTATCACTATATTAAAGAACTCTATAATATCTAACATTATACCATTTTGATTGAAAAACTAACATAGTTAGATTCCAACGAGAAACTAATTATATATTACAAAGGAAATGACTATATAATTAAAATATAAAAAACTAATCATGATTTTATGGCTTTTTTTAAATCGTTCAATAAAAAGAAATAAATTATAAAGAGGCTGATTTTCTTGAAAAAAAACTGTTTTTATTTTTTTCTAAGTAGTATCTTATGTTTTCGTTTTCTCAAATAATACTCTCATAATTTCTCAATCTCATAAATATCATTCTTTTCTTTTATTTTGCCTTTACATTTATTATCGTCTATACCCCTACGTCTCCACCTTTGTCTAGAAAAATAAAAGTGACGAGCACGACGAGCATGAAAGGAGCGGAGACGATGAATACAACATATAAGGAAGACAATGCACAAAGATGATAAGACCCCATGGTAGGAGCAAAGACGAAGATAACAAACGCGAAGAAAAATAATATTTATGAGATTAAAAAAAATATAAAATATCGTCTAACCAAAAAAAAACAGGAGACGTTATCTTGAAAAAGAAAACTTTTACAGACAAATCGGCTAATTATCTTCCAAATCAAGCAAATCTAATTCGAAAGATTTTTTTATGCTTTTTGGTTCCCGAGGTTTTGTTTCCATTATAAATAACAAAGGCATGAAAGGCTTTTGGTTTGTTGGAGTGACCACAGGCTCCACCTCCTCCTTCCCCCTTTCTCTCTCTCTCTCTCTCTCTCTCTCTTTATTCCCTTTTCCTCGCCTGTAATTTATTGTTTTCTTCATCCATTCACAGCCAAAGGCGAGGAGAGAAGAAAAGGTCTCGCCTTTGCTTCTCAATCTGCTTCTTTTCTTCGAATTCAGTTCTTCCCTCCCTTCCTCTTCTCGGTTTCGATCGGTGGGCAGCGTTCGTAGGGTTCTGAGATCCTCGAACGAGTCGTAGCTCCCTCTGGCTTCCAAGTCAGGATTCTCCAAGACCATTTGGTTCGGCGTCAGATTTAATGGGCCTCTTTGCTGATCCATGAATCCGAGTGTTGTTCTTCTTCTCCTTCTCCCCCTGGATTTGTGTTGCAAGATACCAGTTTCGAATTGTGAGCCCATGATGACGGGATCGCGGATGGAAGCGACGGCAACGGCGACGGCGACGGCGACGAGCTACTCCAGCTCAGATTGGGTCCTCGGCCAGAAGAGGTGTGGGAACGGGAGTTGGACGCAGGAAGAGAACAAGCACTTCGAGGACGCGCTGGCCAAGTTCGACGGGGACACCCCGGACCGCTGGGAGAAGGTGGCGGCGTGCATCCCGGGCAAGACGGTGGCGGACGTGAAGAGGCATTACCGCCACCTCCTGGACGACGTGAGGGAGATCGAAGCCGGGCGGATCCCCTGCCCCGGCTACGCCTACAGCTCTTCTTCCTTCACCTTGGACTGGGAGCACAGTCATGGCCTCGACGGCTCCAGGCAGCAGCCCTACTGCATCAGCGGCAAGAGGTGCGGGTTGAGGGCACCCGATCACGAGAGGAAGAAGGGAGTCCCTTGGACCGAAGAAGAGCACAGGTGTGTTTCGAATTAGATGTCATATGCCATCTTCTTCCTCTGCACATCATCCATGTCCTCTGCTCGTTGCAGGCTCTTCTTGCTCGGCCTCAGGAAGTACGGCAAGGGGGACTGGAGAAACATCTCCCGTAACTTCGTGACGACCAGAACACCCACCCAAGTGGCCAGCCATGCCCAGAAGTACTTCATCAGGCTCAACTCCGGCGGCAAAGACAAGAGGCGGTCCAGCATTCACGACATCACCACCGCCAATCTGCCGGATGTCAAACCCCTCTCCCCCTCTCAGCTATCTAATCTCTCCGCCCAGTCGAGCCCCTTCTCCGTCATCGTCGACTCCAACCCACCGACGGAAGCAGACGTGAGCCGCTTCATGCAACAACACCAGTTCGGAGTGACACCATATGGTTCGGCGCGGGGTGGCGTTCTCCATGACTCTGTTGTCTGTGACAATGCTTCCTTGTTTCAGATGCGGTCAAGCCAGCATCACCCCCGCGGATGAGGTGCTCGGAGAAGTCGAACGGAGATCGTGGTTACTTTTTTGTTGTACATTCTGTCATTTCACATCGTATAAGCGACTATGGCATGTCAATTGAATCGCATAATGCTGCAAAATTGCTATGCGCATTGCTTCTTTCGCATGTGCTACTCCCAAGGAATTCGGAAGGTATTCGAGACTGTGATTTTAGCTGCCGCTTCTCTCTCTCTCTCTGTGACTCTCTGTCTGTCTCTCTTGTCAGCATCATTTCGAATCCATCTGCAATTCCATTGTGTTGAGTTGGTAGTTCGCAGTGGCTAATATCAAATTGTCTTTGCTCGAGTGTAAATCCATCATTCGGTGTATCTAAATCGTCGGAACAGACTATGACAAAAGAAAGAGGACAAAATGACCGAAATAATAAGCTCAAAGGACATGGCTGGACCAGTCCCCACTATCATGTATTTTATAAGCTGTTCATGATGGTAGCATCTCTCCAGCAGCACTAAAACTATGCAGCCTACGATGGTGGTGAAGTAGGTCGGAAGAATCCCAAGGACCTGTAATCTTTCCTCCGAGATTTAGCTATTGGGTTTCATCGAATGCAGCATTAGGTTGAGGCTGTAGTGGGAGGTGAGCCACTGTCGTTACTGCCGTGCGGTGGGAGAGGAAGTGACTTGTGATGATACAGACCTCAGAAACAGCGAAATGCAAAAAAAAGGCAAGAGGATGCAGGGCAACAGGAGAGGCCATCCAGCTTCTCTCTTTCCCAGGAAGAAGAGAGGTGCTATTACGGGGGAGGGTGGTGCAAAGCTTTTGTTGCAAGTTGCGGAGAGGGAGAGGGAGAGGAGATGGCACTCACTCACTAGCTGCCACTTTATTCTAGTTTGATGTGCCACCGGGTGGATTGAGACCACAAGCGTGAGGTGGAGATGTTTTATACTTTTGAGCAACTTGTCTTTTCCACAGTATTCTGATTCCAAAGTTACTGCAGTGTAATTATTGTTATGGGTTTAGCCATGTTTAGTTTACAGGAAGACCAGCCTGCCTCCGTACTCCATTATTGCCTTTTGCATATTATTTTGCTGCTAGCAACCGCACGACGCTGCACCGGTACGACGGAGAGAGGGGCCGTCGACGAACGAACTGATCAACAGTATACTATGATATGTGTTCTGTTCGTTGTCGCGTGGATGCAGCCGTTTTGATCTCTACATCTTACTTACCACGATATCATATGATGAGAACTTTTATTATTTGTATAGATATCTCGACTCTCCAACACTCGACAAGTCATGCCTGCCGGTCACTGTAACCAACAGTTATGAGTCCTGCCCGTATGCCACGTTGCCGTACCAAATTCCAATCATTGTTCTTCCACTGCTTCGAGTGTTATCGTCAATCCTCGAGTGCTGCAGCAGCAAAATATCTTCTAGGGTTTTTATTCGTTCCTCGAGAAAATACCTTCGGACATTAAAATCCTTCACGATTTGTCTATAGGACTCGAAAAACACTTTGGAGCAGTCTGTGCTCCTACAAAGTTCGTCAATGGGAAACTTGGTAGATCACATCTGAGATGAAATTAGCCACAAGAGAACACTTCACTACCTACCAACCTAGATTTAAATGAAAAACCTATATACAATCACTTGCTACACTGATGCTGCTTATCTCTCTTCAAGGTAAAATTGAAGGCAAAAAGTTTCCATTCAAATACTTGCTTGCATGATTGAGATGGATAGATAGATCTTGGAAGGTAAACTGAGGTCCAAAGTTTGCAAGGAACCCAAAAGGCATCTCTTCATCATCATAGTAAAATCACTCCATAGAAATTGTTCGTTCCTGAATCTTAAAGCAAAATCATCAGCATTCGACGAGCGATGAGCAACAGATTAGGCAGAACTACTGCAGCAGATATCAGCAATTGAACAAGCAAGTAATAGAGTGAACTCAGCCTCAGCCAATCACAAGGCATCAAAGTCACAAAAGTACTTTCATTTATCGGCTTACAAAGGAGAAGACAGCTTATTAGAGTACCGGCTGCTCGAAATATCAAACTGATACAGACAACACATATAGACATGTTCATCGCCAGAACCACATCCACCACCGTAGTAGGCGATATAGTAGGACAAAAAGAAACAGCAAAGTTAAACAAAAGGCAGCACATGTAGATTTCAGGCTGGATATAAAGGAATTACTGACTCTGAGCAGTCTGTTCGTTTTCCAGCAAGGGAGTAGTAAGCAAGAATTTGAGCCTGACTCTCTATGTTTCCTGTCCTGACTTCGGTCCCTTTCGGCGGTATAAATTCTATGTTCCAGAAATCACGGGCCATGACCAAAAGGTCTCTCCCGGTAGGAGATGCAACGTATCCCTGCACCCACAAGTATCTCAAAGAAGGTAGCTGCAAAGCTGCCATGGCTAAAGCACGCTCGCTGAAACAACAGCTCCTCAGTTCCAGCTTTTGTAGCTGTGGGCATCCTTGTGAAAACAGCATCATTCCACGGTCAGATTCCCCTACATTACCCATCAGTATCCACCGAACATTGCTACTTAACTCGCCAATGTAACCAAGACCAACATCTGAGAGACCTCCAGGTCTCAGATAAAGAGCAAATCTCCTAAGCTTGGTGCAACCTCTCAGCAGAGCACGGACACCATTGTCAAGGGGCAAGTCTGTTATCCTCTCTTCTCTGTCCAGTAAAACTAAACGAAAATCACAAAGGTTTTTGCTGAAAGTGCCAAGACATTCTAGAGCTGCATTTGTGATGTCAGAGACATATACCGCCAGGTATTCCAATTCAAGGCATCCCTGAGCTAGAGTCGATAGACCGACTTGGGAAACCCGAGCCTGTTCATCCTCTAGACCTTGTTCGTCGTCCCCTCGCTCTATTCTGAGCCTTCGGAGTTTCTTACATGTTTGAGCAACCACCTCCAATCCTCTATCTCCAATCACGTCCCTCACCTATCAGGGAAAAAGAGTTAGCTTAACCTCATCAGACCAAAGGCTTACGAAATGAAGTGATGGCATGAGTTATGGTGTATGCTACCTCGAGAACTTCTAGATTTGGACAACGTTGGATCAGCTGGCAATGATCCTCGGTGCTGAGCAATGTATACTGCAAGTCCAGTTTCTTAAGTGCTGCAGCAAATGGAAATAATATGCTCATTTCATTCTTCCCCATATAGATGAGACCTACGCAGCACAGCCTGGGAGGAAACTGGATCTTCTTATACGTATTGACCTCTCCGAGTTGATCATTGAATGAGCCCCCACCAAACTCTTCCAATGCCGTTGCAAAGTGGAAAAAACCAACTAAATCATAGATGTCACATTCACTGATCTTTAAGGAAACCAAGCACCTGCAGTTCTTAGCAAGTAGCTCGAGATCCTGTGGTGTAACTCTAAGTTCGGTCATATAAAAATTCAAAGTCTCGAGCACAGAATTATTAACAGCAAGTTCATGAATCCATTTGTCATTATTCTCAGTAATTGAGCTTTCTTCCAAAAGCAGTGTTCTAAGACATCTGCATATACATATTAGTAAACCAAATCAGTTGAATCGTCAGATGATGGAGGACACAGCAATAAATAATCAGTTATATCGGAACAATATGTTTTCAGAAGGTCATTAGCACTAAAGAAATAAAAATGCAAAAGTATGCAGGTACTTGCAGATCAATCTGATCAACTAAATGTTGATCATGAAAGATGCCTAAAGATCCGCTTGTGAATGATGATTTTGCAGCAAGTACTGCTTAGAAACAGAGCTAGATTATCTGGTTCAATGGTGTTGATTCAATTGGAACTTATCGTAAAATGGCTGATAAATAAACATACAGTATATATATGTGTGTGTGTGCACACACACACACGCATACTGAATTTGCCGACACAACATACAATGGCAATGTATATATGTGAAAAAAATGTACACATACATGCATTTATACTTTGCCCTCATTATTTCTTCCTTCATAAAGTTATCCTTGCATGGTATGTCCATTTTGGTTGGATTTTGATTAGATCATAAGGTCATTTTGGTTAACATGGTGGAAGTTAGGGTTTGTGTTGATAAGCTGAGGACTATGCGGAGGTCAGATTTGTGCCTTTTGGTAGCCAAAGAGGATAATCTTCTTTTGTCGATTCTTCCCTCAAAATGGTTCTTTCATAGGAAAAAAAATAAAATCTCCAGCCTCTCCCTTCTCTCCATGGCAACTTAGGCAAGATTCATAAGGATGGAGATGGAAATAGTTGGCGCCTGAATTTGAGAAGTGAATCAAGTCAGGGATCATTCTATCTTACAATCTCTATTGCATCATTCAATTTGGTATCTACTATTGTTGTTGACATGAAGGACTCATTAAACTAATTTCTTTTTTCATCCTTTTCATGTCGATTTTTGTTCTTCACAGGCTTTGATCTTGCAAGAACCTATGGATTTAAGATGCTTTAAATGTCACTTAGTCATATGTAAATAACTCAGTGGGTAATGGTTTGTAAAATTGGAAGTGATGGGATAGGGATAGACGAGAGAGTAAAGTTCAGGTTCAACGATAAAATTTTTTCCTAACTCATTCCAGTAAAAATAATGAATAACACTGACTGAATATATTCGAAAGAAAACCAGCCACAACAATCTAGAGCTTAAATTTCAAGACAAACCCTTTTACAGGACACCAAATAATTAGGTTATGGCTCATAAAATCGATCAAAGATAATCCAAATAGACTCTATTCCTCTAACTATACTGCATCTCAACAACTGATCTAACCAAACTCAATTTAACATCCAATTGTTACTAAAAATATACTTTCACGGTTGATCTAAGTAGCTTTGGGTTGCATCAACACCACAAGAAATATGATCAGTGTCCTTTGCACAAAAACTGATTCATATGGCAAACATGGTGGTATCTCTACCATAATGTCAAGAAATAAGGCAATAAATTGCTTAAAAATCGCAAGATGTTAAAAAGTGAATAAAAGCTGATGCAGTCATTTACGATATCCCAAATTGTCATTATGTGTAAGGTTAGGGGTTATTTACACAAATATTTAATTGGCTATGAAACCGTAGCATGTAGAATAAACATGTGAGACAGCTACAATATTCATAGAACCTACCTTCATTTCCTGGAACATAAACTGCACATGGCTTGTGTGCCTATCATCAATGAAGCTGCCCATTTAACCAAAAGATATTTAATGCATAGAGTTATGTACTTCAACATTTAATTAGCACTTTTGGAACTTCAGATAGAATAAGTTGGATACTGAAGATACCCTTAAAAGCTCAGTCTTGGCTAGGAAAATCAAGAAGAACATTGAACCTCAAAGCAGAACTCAACCGAATGCATCAAAGATTGTTTTATTGGGACTAACAAACACAAACTTGAGGACATAAGAAAGATGATATTTGTAATAAAGAAGTTGCAAGGGTTCTAAATTAGAAAAGAGAACTAAAGAAATAATCCGGAGGAACAATCAAAATAAATCTGGAGGCAAATATTTTTTGTGTCATGAGACCAGGATGTACAGGAAGTAAAAGGTTTCGAGAAAAAGGGACACAAAACTGGGCCAAAAAGGAGAGATATGACTATTAAGAGGTATTTTCATGTGGAAACAAGTAATCTTTTTGTTGATATCTGGCCTAATTTGATTTTTTTGGGGATCGGCTTAAAACAGTGTAATCGGCACACAGGCAGCAAGAGACAGCCAAGTGCCTATAGTAAGGTGTGACCAAGGCACCAAAGTGAATGCTACGCATGAAAATATAAAGAAATATTTGGAAGAATTATCCAGAAGCTCTAAAAAATTTTAAGGGGATATCAATTATTTCCTTGTGTTTCTGCACATTTATGGCACCTCAAGTTTGAAGAACCATCTCAAATTTCCTTGAACGGCTTTCCTTGAACATTTCCAACCTATACTTACCGATATCTTTGCAAATAATGTTTTACCAATCCACTAAAGTGCATATAATAATGGACACTATCAAAACCATTATAAATGATAGCTATAAAGGGAAGTTAACAATCCCACCAAATCCTTCTTGATGGAATAGATATCAGCACTACAAATTATTACAAACTTTTGTTACAAGTTACAACGGGAATTAACAGAAGATAACAGCTTCTACTGGCAAAATAGATCCTATAACAATACAAAAGGTGTATTAATCTCAATTCAAGTTACATTTAATTACCATTTAATGATCCAAAATATATTATATTATTTCACTGAAGAGTTGAATCTCATCAATGACTACTACTCCTGTTTAGTGTCTGCTATTTTTCCCGCTACCCAACAAACAACCCCACCCCCACCAAGAAAAGAATGAACAAAAAACTATAACACTGACTAAACAAAAAGATCATAAGTAATAGCAGATAGCAATTTTCTCAAGATATTATGCGACAAATTGACTAAAGAATCAGGTCCATTCTTATAACTTAGTGGAAAACATGTTTGCACTTGTATTTTCATGATTTACAACAAACAGCTTGGAGCTGGAGGAGGTTTAGTGTAAAATAATAAAGAAATAAACACAAGATACAGATGTACAGCATGGTTGAGCATATCCAAGATAACACTCATCCTTAAATCTACTTGAACTTGGCCTATGAACCAGAGATTCTTGCCTGTGCTATCACACAAGACTATAAATTCTGTAACATAATTATGCAAGGATTAAAGTTTTGAAACTTTAGATGTTACAGGGAACATATAACCAAAGTGTTAATTAACTGCTGTTTGTCATAAATAATTGCTGCTCTGAGAATTATTATCCAAGAGAAGATAAATAGCAATCTTCCAATAATGGACAGAACAAATTCTTCCAAGTTTAAAGCATAAATTAGGGAATTTTATCTGCCTGAAGGTGCTTTGACACATAATCTTAGTATCTTAAAGGAAACATGGCAATCACATCATGGAATTAATGCCAAGTTCCTTACAAAAAAGATGAAGCTGCATGTGCTAGTGCAATGGATATAGAACATCAGAATCATGTCAAGGTACATGATTTGATATGTCAAATATATGTTCCAGAGTAGTCACACCCACTTTTCTCTGGAAGAAAGTACATTCACATTTGACAACTACTTCAAACTCACAGCAGTTGGATCTTACTACTAAATCCAGTTTATGAATACTCTGGGGCTTCATAGACTTAATAAATTTAAACCTCCGAGAATAATGCAAATTACTACCGTCAAATTTATGGGGTCTACAAGTTTGGTTCTTTCTTCCATGAATCTTACCTTGCATCCAATGTGAAGAAAAAGTCCATAAGTTCCAGAAAAGAATTTTGATGACAAACACATGTATAGGTACTCATCTAGGAATCAGCATCAGAAAAAGGAGAGGAATTGGAGAATAAGAGCATCATATTAGCATACAAAATTCATATACTAGCTCTTCAAGCTCTTGATTCTCAAGACAACCAAGATCGAGAAAAGAAACTAACTGGTTTTTTGCTAGAACCTAACGCATTCCACTCAACCGTATCAAAATTTCATTCCGAATTCCAATTTTCAAGGAAATAGGTTGCTGCAAACATGACCTTCCACTCCACAGGGCGGAAGGTCACAAGTGTTGCAGGCTGGCAAGCACGACGAAAACAAGATTCAGATAAAATGTGCTCAAGCGTCATGTACTTCTATCAGGGCAAACTTTTTAGGACAATAAACAGACGGAAGTAAACTAAAATTTCAGTCGACCAAAAAGATGTACCTGCAGGAACGCGCAACGAGGAGGAGGGCATCTGTGGAAAACCCAGAGCACTTGTCGAGCTTGAGCGACTCGAGCATATGACCTCTGGCCTTGACCAGCACGGTGATATCCTCGTCCTTGACGATCATCCGCCGGAAGTGCAGCGACTTGAGGCATTTGAAAGCCTCGGCGATCTCCCTGACCCAGGGGCCCGCGTAGCCGCCCCAGTCCTCGGGTATGAGGTTGAACATGGCGGCACGGGGCTTGCCCTTGAGCTTGAGGGACTCGAGGTTGGGGAATCTCCGCCGCAGCCGGTCAGGGCTAGTGGAGTAGCAGATGGCGATGGTGACGTGCTTCCGCGAGAGGGCGTCGATCTGGTACCACTTCTTGCACACGAGCGAGACGGCCTCCCGGTCCCGGGGATCATCCACGTACCCCAGCACGAACTCCAACGCCGAGTCCGATATCCCGAAACTCATCACCCTGCTCAAGCTCCGGTGCGCCATCGCCCCCACCCAACCTACAAAACCCAACCAAGAAACCACCTCAATCACCAGATCCGCGACGAAAAGCCACAAGCTGAAGACTCCATCGATTCCAGCGGATCAAGTTCCTCTTCCTCCGATCTCAGTGCTGAAGAAACAACGAACCACAAGAGAACCCCGAAGCTCCCTCCCTCTTCTTCTTGTAAAGAAGCCGAACAAGGAACGGGCGACGCGACACCTCACCTGCGGATCAGGGGAGCCTGGGGGTACCTGGAGGCGGGGACATCGTCGGGGCGGCCGAGCCGTCCATGTAGCGCGACGGCCGATGCGGTCTTCACCGGAAAGTGTCAGCCCTAAAATCAAGTGAGAAATGTCTGGGTCTTGTGCGTTCGTTGAGGGCTTGTAGCAGTCTCGCCGCTTAAAAGGAGGCGAGAATATTTAGATGGAGATAGAGGAGCTGAGATTAACAGCAAGAAAAATATGAGTAGTAATAATCTATGGTTCGTCGAAGCAGTAATCGGTCCCCTCGGATTGTATTCTTCCGCGATCAACAGCTGCGCTTTGTCTTGCATACCGGCGGGTACCGCATGGGATTGTAGCGGCGACGCGACTGTCGTGGGACCAACCTGTGGGTCCCTGACATCTACGTATGCCACGTTACGGATCGAATCCGACATGCTCTCCCCTTACCATCGGATTATCCATCGGCAAAGGGCACTGACTCCCGCCCGCTCCGCCGACCACAATAATATCGTATATTAATATTGCACGGCTTTACGAAGGATAACATAATAAATTAAATGTGCATAAAAGATGATTAGCACCGAGGATGAGTGAAACCGATGGGAATCGGTGCTGAAGCAGATTGCGAGCCACGCGGCAGGGCATCGGAAGATGACGAGAGCGGGAGCAGCGAGCGGCATCCTTAAAATCTTCGATCCGATGTGTGTGGTCCATGGAAGGCCCCGGATTCCTTCCTGCTGAAGAATACATAGCTGGCGATTAGATGATGAAATGCCTGAATGAGACAACGATCCACCCTGTTCTATCTTTTTTCTGTCCATCGATGTGACTGAGACTTACCGATCATGCATCACAAGCAGCGTCTTACGTTAGCACTCTAATGCTGCTTAATCTGACTCCCTGGGCTGCCTGCCGCATTCCAGTTTAAGCATGCACAAATGTTCGATCAGTCCCTCTCTCGGCGAAGCTGATGATAGAGTCCAGGTATGGCCGGCCGTTCACTGTAGCTTTCGACAATGATGTGCGGGGCGACCTTGGCATTCTATCAGTCATGAACCAGGCATGACGAACCGTAAGTCAATGCTCCCACGGAGGGCAGTTGGCTCGACTCGAAGTAAATGTTTGGTGTTCTTCTCGAGGTAAATCTGATGGATGGGCAGAGGAAACCTTGTGCTCGGAATCGAGACGACAACAACTGACGGTGGAAGCAATAATAAACAAGGGCTGGAAAGCAGAATCTCGCTGGAAAACCACGCGACTAATCGGGCCAGATTCAAGGAACGATTCGGTGAATGCAACGGATTCAGGGCCCGATGCGGTGAATGCAGCGGCGGAGGGCCGTCGAGCCGGACGAAAAGGGCTGCGCGTGACGCGTGCGTCCAGGTTCAAGGAATCGTGGACGTGCGTGTTACCACTGTACTTGAGATCGAACCGGTACAATGTACTTGGCCCCGATCGAAGAAGTCACCACCACGTCGATCCTCCATCTTTACTGCCAAAACAAATCACTACGTCGTCTTCTTGGATATCCAATCGGATATCAGCAGCTAAGACTTCAATTAATGACTGAAGAAAACCTAAATCACAACGGGACACAAGTCACATACGATTCATCGAATATGTTGACCTACGATAAAACGTCAAAAGCTGCTAACTTCTTGATTCTTCATGTCGAGAGAGGTTACACGTCTCTTTCGTGCTGCAGTTGTAATCCGTCGCAACGATCGACATAAGCTATGATATCATGCGACTTGTTGGAGATTTTTCTCGGTCGCTTTTCATTGTCACTGTGACATGTCTACCATCGCCACCTCAGAATAATTTCGTCTCCGATCTTTGAAAAGGAGGGTTCCTTCCGGTCATGACAAAAGTCTATGATGGTCGAAGCAACTTAGAGAGAAGAAGATCACTATAACTCTTAGGTATATATATATATATTCAACCCTATCGTAACTTTTCCTTTAGAAAAGAGGAAGGTGTTCTTCGCTAACCCAAAAGAACTCTCATCCCCCACTAATTGCAATGTGGCTCTCTCTTTTCTTCCGAGGTCACGTATGATTGCTTATTTAAGCATCGGTGCCAAGTTGTCGGTCAACACTTAGCTCCCCTCCTCTCTTTGTCTTGTAAGCTTGCTTATTAATTATGTTCATTATCCCTTTAATTGTGTAGTTATATTTATTTTGATGGTTTAATGATATTTATTGGTTATGAATACACATAGTTTTATATGACCAATATTTTTATTTTATTTTATTTTTACAGGATGTTCTTTGATTTTATTGTTTATTTTCATATTTTTGTAAATAAAGTCAATATTTGTGGTAATCCCCATACTGTAAAAAAATATTTTTACAAATCAATATTTTTAAAGAGATCGATATTCTCTAAAAAAATATTTTTACAAATCAATATTGATTTGTAAATATTCATTACAAAAGCTGTTACATTCATTGTTCTTATGGCAATCCCCATAAGAAGTTGATCTATTTTTTATTTTTTTTACATTATGTTCTTTGATTTTATTATTATTTATTATATTTTTCTTTCTATCAAAATAGAATCATTTCTTACAACAATAGCTATGCAAGTCTTTTTTTTTACTTTCATTATTTTTTCTCTCGCTCCTTGTTATGCAAAAAACTCGTCCCTAAGAGAAAAATAAACGCTTAAACCAAACCATCGGCGTTTATTTTCCAAGGCATTTTCTTCGTACAGTCTCCTCGTTAGACTACATTGATGTTTTTTATTACATTATCGTGTTTATTCTATTATATTTTATGATCCTTTATAATGTGATAAGATATATATAATATAATTAATAAGATTTTGATTAAATATATGAACTCTCAACAATCGATCTATGTGGTCATATTAAAAAAAATAGGAAGAAAGGAGAAAGATTTAAGATTCATAACGATCTTGGAGGTGCCTTTGGAGATAAAATAAAATTTCAGATGACATCAAAATATACACAAAATAAAATTTTAGATGACATCAAAAGATACACATTGTTAAACTAAATCTAATTATTTGATTTCAATTCTAACATATAAAATTGTTCTATATTTAATATAATATATTACATATTACACTATATTCTTATTGTCTTTTTTGTGTCAATAATTCAATATGATGTTTAAAAACACAATGACTACATAAAATATAGTCTGATTTCTCGTAGTCTACATCTTGACTTCTCTGGTTCATTACATAGACTTTATACTTAGTGCATAGATAAACCACATTTTT